GAGCGTCGCAACACCCGGTATCGAGCTAGAAGGTCGCACGGTAGATGTAGAAAAGCACCATGACACTAGAGGCACCGTAGATGTACTTGGCAGAAAGCCTTCGATCGAAATGCCAGCAAAGGAAGCACCGTCGATCAAATCCGCGTCGACGGAAGGTCAAAAGACAGTTCACGTTTCAGAAGAACGACCTGCGCGGATCGAAGAGGCGGTTGTTGAAACTTCGAGGCCGTTCGAGAGCAAGAAGCCGGAGGAACGGGAAGTCGTACCGATCAACATCAAGCAGCAGATCGTGAAGAACTCCTTCATCCCGGAGATCGATTACTCCGTGGACGATTACATGGACGAAGCTTTGAAGCCGGAGTACAAGCCGATCTTCCACAAAGTGGAGATATCTCTGGCCGTGAGGAAGGAGGGAGAAGAGATGCAGCCAACGGTGTCGGTGAAGAGTCAAGCTGAGCCAGAGGCGGCTCCTTATCGAATGGTGAAGGAAGACGTGGACATAAGCCTGCCGGCAGACAAGGAGACCACGTCGGTGATCCACGACAAGATCATCCAAACGTCTCCACCACTGGCAGAACCTAGAGTGGTCACTGTGGACAAGTCAGTGGTTACGTCGGAGAAAGAAGAAACGGACAAATCGGTAGTCATCGTTTTAGAGAAGGAAGAAACTGACAGGTCCGTCATCACGTCTGAGAAAGAGGAGACCGACAAATCCGTCATCACCTCCGAGAAGGAAGAGACCTCCGACGACATCATCACGTCGGAGAAAGAAGACGAGTGCCAGACCGAACCCGCGATGGAACCCGAATCGGAAACCATCATAGAGTTGGACAAGAAGGTCGCGGAAATTGGATCACCGATATTCTCCATGGAGACCAAGTCGAGCATTTCCTTCGTGTCCAACATCGCGGATTCGATAGAGATCGACGTGGCTCTGTCCGACTCTTCTAAACACATCAGCGAAACGCCGCAGCCTGACATCACCGAGATGCTGAGATCCAGGCAGCTCGAGCTCTCCTTGAAAGACGAGACGTCGAACGGAGAAGACGGTTACGAGGGTGACCGAACAATGGTGTCGACCACGACGCCGGATGACGAGAGCGTGACGAAAACGAAAAGAAGGAAGAAGAAGAAGCAGAGAATACGAAGCTCCAAAGAGGAAGAGCAGACCGAATTCCCGAAGACTACCACCGATGAAGGGGAATTCACGGACGACCTGGCACCGACGGAGAGCGAGGACGCCAAGGCCACGAAGAAGAAAAAGAAGAAAAAGAAACGGGAAGACATTGACGTCAGTAAAGAGAAAACCGCTCCGACCGCCACGCTGACAGAGGCAGACACTCAGACCGTTCCTCGAGAGTTCAACGTCGCCGTTGCCACTACGTCTCCGAAGCAGGAGGAAGTGTCGGAAATTTGCGTTCAGACATCGCCGTATTTGTTGGAAGAGACCGAGGTACCGAAAATCGAGGACGTTCACGAAGAAGTGCAGACTTCGCCGCAAATTTCGCTCGAAGAAGTGACCAAAGTGGAAGAAATAACCCAACCCCAGGCGACCATAATGGAAGAAGTGACCCAACCCGAGTCGACCAAAGTGGAAGAAGTGATCCAACCGGAGTCGACCAAAGTGGAAGAAATGATCCAACCGGAGTCGACCAAAGTGGAAGAAGTGATCCAACCGGAGTCGACCAAAGTGGAAGAAGTGATCCAACCCGAGTCGACCAAAGTGGAAGAATTGATCCAACCCGAGTCGACCAAAGTGGAAGAATTGATCCAACCCGAGTCGACCAAAGTGGAAGAAGTGATCCAACCCGAGACGACCAAAGTGGAAGAAGTGATCCAACCCGAGACGACCAAAGTGGAAGAAGTGATCCAACCCGAGACGACCAAAGTGGAAGAAGTTCACGCAGAGATGCAGACGTCTCCATTGCCAGCTTTCGACTTCGGCATGCAAACTGTTCCCGAGGAAAAGCCTCAAGCTGAGAAACCGATTACTCAACAGCACACCGAAATGCAGACGTCTCCGTTATCCGTCTCGGACTTTGGTGAGCAAACTAGCACGGAGCAAGCTCCTGACATAGGAGAAATAAGTACTCAGACGATGGAAGCTCCTGTTGTGAAAATGGAGGAATACGCAGTTCAAACTAGCCCAGTGAAGGACTATATTGAAACAACCGTGGTCCCAGTTGACACAGAGGAGATACAAGTTCAAACTACAGCCACAGACGTGGTTTCCATCGAAACGCAGACATCGCCTACGGCCCCGTTGTTGGAGATGGAAACTCAGACCGCAGAGAAAGTCGTGATAGCCGTTGAACAACAGACTTCGCCAACACCGACCGAGAAAGTTCTAACCGGGATAGCAGTTCAGACGGTAACTCCCGAAGAACCCAAAACCACAGAGACAGAGGCACAGACTAGTAAACCGGCTAGCCCAGAAAAGGCCACGTTAGACTTCAATATCCAAGCAGACTTGATAGAAAAACCGACTGTCCAAGTGGTAGAGACCCAGACAACTCCAAAGCAGAGTCCACGACAGGCTAAAACTCTGGAAACCGAGTCACAGACGATTCTACCAGAACCAACTGTGGAAATCATGATGCAGACCAGTCCAGTTATCTTTGCTCCGGACAAAGTCGATGTTTGCGAGTTATCCTCGCAGACCAGTCCAGTTACCTTCGCACCGGACAAAGTAGAGGTTTGCGAGCTATCTGCTCAGACCAGTCCAGTTTCCTTTGCTCCGGACAAAGTAGAAGTTTGCGAGCTATCTGCTCAGACCAGTCCAGTTTCCTTTGCTCCAGAGAAAGTCGAAGTTTGCGAGCTATCTGCTCAGACCAGTCCAGTAACTTTTGCTCCAAAGAAAGTCGAAGTTTGCGAGCTCTCTGCTCAGACCAGTCCAGTTTCCTTTGCTTCGGACAAAGTAGAAGTTTGCGAATTATCTGCTCAAACCACTCCAGTGTCCTTTGCTCCGGATAAAGTCGACGTTTGCGAGTTGTCTTCACAGACCAGTCCAGTTAGCTTTGCTCCGGACAAAGTAGAAGTTTGCGAACTATCTGCTCAGACCACTCCAGTAACCTTTGCTCCGGACAAAGTAGAAGTTTGCGAACTATCTGCTCAGACCACTCCAGTGACCTTTGCTCCGGACAAAGTCGAGGTTTGCGAACTATCTGCTCAGACCACTCCAGTGACCTTTGCTCCGGACAAAGTCGAAGTTTGCGAACTATCTGCTCAGACCACTCCAGTGACCTTTGCTCCGGACAAAGTGGAAGTTTGCGAACTATCTGCTCAGACCACTCCAGTGACCTTTGCTCCGGATAAAGTCGACGTTTGCGAGTTATCCTCGCAGACCAGTCCAATTATCTTTGCTCCGGACAAAGTGGAAGTTTGCGAGCTTTCTGCTCAGACCACTCCAGTGATTTTTGCTCCGGATAAAGTCGACGTTTGCGAGTTATCCTCGCAGACAAGTCCAGTTACATTTGCACCAGACAAAGTCGACGTTTGCGAGTTATCCGCTCAGACCAGTTTAGAGGAAGTTAAAGAGTCTATGGACGAACAGTCTCAGACTGTCACGCCGGAGAAGATAGAGACCTTGGACAGCTCGGTTCAAATAAAGTCAAGCGATTTAGTGGAACAAGTGGAAGAAAGTGTACAGATCATTCCCGAAACTCGCGAAGATGCCGAGCAAACGAGCATCGAAGAGGAGAAACCGTCACTGGTGACGACTTCTCAGCAGACAAGTGGGGTATTCCAAATCGCCGAGGAAGCAAAAGACGTTGTAGTTAAGGACGAAAAAGGTAACGTGATAGAGGCCACGTTGGACGAGATGGTCGCAGACGTAGAAACGCCTCTCAAGCTTACACAAATTCCAGTAGCACCTGATGTACAAGTACAAGAAACTAAGGAACATTTGGATACGTTGAGCAGCGAGGAGGTGACAGCGCCGTCTATTCTGGAGGAACCTCAACGGGAAGTAACGGAAGTGCAGGATGAATATTTACAAGGCACCTCTGAGGGAGTAGAACCCAAGTCAGAGACCGAGGAGTCAGTGGTGACTTCGGTAGAGGATACTACGACCACTGATGCCGATTTTAAAATACGTTTGCAAACAACCATTGAAGTGCCCACTAGTGACACCACTGACAGTACCAGTAAATTGACAGACAGTTCGCAGGACACGACTATTACCGAGGATCTGAGTTCCGCGAAGAAGGTAGAGGACAGCAACGTGATAAAGAGACAGAAACGGAAGAGGAAACACAGGACCATCGAAATTTCCGCAGCAGGTGAGAAAGACCTGGAATCCATATTTGGACAACCTGTAGAATCGCGAGACGTGTCTCCAAAATACTATTACTCCGACGTTGCTAAGAGGAACATAGGCAAAGAGAAGACTCCACCTGACGAGCCTAGTCGGCTGGAAAGAAGTCCTCAAGAGGACGATGTTCGACAGAAGGAATCTAAAGTCTTATTCGAAGAGAGAGTAGACGAGGTTGACGAAGGTATGCAGGCTAGTACCAGTACGCCATTCGCTATGGCGATGGAGCCCGTGGCCATTAAAGACACTCAAGACGTCTGGGCTGTAGATAAAGAGAAACTAACCTTGCCTTTGGAATCACAAGCTCAACAGGCGCCAGTATTTGCACACATGCCTTCGCCGGAACCTATGGACACTACCGAGGAACCAGTTTCTCCTGTAGACTCGGTTCTGCAGGAAGAAGAGCAACTGAAAATTCAAACTTTCGCAGACATCAACAAAGATCTGAGTAAGAAACTGGAACAATCTTCCTCGGAATTGCCTCATCCCGACGCTGCTCAGAAAGACCCGACCCTAGAGGCTTTCCTGCTGGCTGAGACTGCCGAACAAGACCCTCGACATCAAATCACCCCTTGCAGTCAAACGACCAAGGCGATCTGTTATCGAATGCAGAGTCTTCAAAATGCTAAAGAGCCGAGTCATTTCGGGAATATCCTTCACATCGCTCATCTGGACCAAGTGGCGAACGAAAGGCTGGCCGAAGAACGAGCTGCCGACGTGACGAAGTCATTGTCCAAGCTGAGGGACGCTGTTCAAGAGAAAGATGCAGCCGCAGTCGAAGAGACTCTGGTTGTCATCGTGGACACGATTTCCACTTGGTTGGAGACCATCGAGTACAGAATTTTCTTGAGCAAAGAGTATCCGCTCTCTAGCAACTACAACACCAACGTCGAGCTAGAGGAGGAAGTGACGAATGTGAGAAAGGATATCGTGGAACTGAATAATATCTGGAAATTGGTAGAGATGGACTATCCGGAAGAGGATCGCAACAACCTGCAGAGGTGTCTCGATGCTCTGATGCATCAAGTCAACATGATCGAAGATGCGACCGATGACAGAAACAAGTACCTCGCTAAGGAGTTTCTGAGATGGGACGAATTCAACGACGTACTGCGTCGTGTATTTAGAGACAAATCTTTAACTTTCTTTTAGCTGTAACAGGTCAATCGAGGGACAACTGACCGAGCTGAATGACATCAACACGTTCGACATAGTGACAAGCGCGAAGCTGAAGATACTGGACATGGTGGAGGAAACGAACCAAACGAACATGATGAACACTACCAAGCTGCTCTCCATTTCCCACGAATTGCTGTGCGACTATCCCGAGGAGCACATCCCGGAAGAGACCTACGTGGCTCACGAGAAGACGAAAGTAATCAGCCACAGGATATGCATGGAACGTGAACGCCTTCTGCAACTGCAGGCCCTGGTCGAGGAGTACGAACGAACTCTGCAAGAGTTTGCACAGATCACCGAAATCGCCAAGAATTTGTTAGAGAGTCCTATCTCGGTGATGAGTCTGGAACACCTGCAGGAGGAGATGCAGAAGCACAGGAAGTTCTTCGTCAACCTGAATCACTGTCGAACGATACTAGAGTCATTGGAGAGCAACTTAAATCCCAAGACGAGAACGGAGTACTCGGACCTTCACGAAGAGCTGCACAGCAGGGCTATATCCCTGTTAGACAAGGCTGCGTTCAGGACCCAGCAAATGGCTCTGGCTGCGTCCAGGTGGATTCTGCTGGAGCAAGGAGTGAAAGAGGAGAGAGGATGGCTTCAGGTTGCTCATCAACGAGTACCTGATCTCCAGACGGTGACGTCGTCTGACTACGACCAATACATCTCTCTGTATCAGGTGAGTTGCTCCTCGCGGGAGAACAGGTACAGATAGAATCTCGTGTCTATTTTCGATTTTTGCGAATTAACTCGAGCTGCTATTTACGTAACAGTGTCGGATATTGGATATTTCGCACGTATCGGCTTTCATTTCTACCCAGAGACGAATATTGCAAATATTTTTTCTTCCAGTCTCTGGCTACGGACGTCGCCACCCATCACGCTCGGCTTATTCAACTTCTGAACGTGGCTCGCAGCCTCCAAGAGCTGGTGAACATCGAAGATCCCGTGGATCGTTACGGAGAAGCTCTAGACGTGATCGTGAAGCTTCAAGATAACGTGGAGTCGTCGTTGGGGAAACTGCTGGCGTTCAAAGAAAACTGGTGCAACCAGGAAATACTGATGGACCGACTGGAAAACTGGATGACGACTGTGGAAAGGGAACTGAGCACCTTCCGTGAGCCTTCCGTGGGTCACATACGTCAATTCTGTGTAAGTAATTCGAAAAACGTTTAACCATCCACGAAATCAAAGTCGTCTCTATAAACTTTATCATCTTCATCGTTGTTCCTATCTCCCCAGGAGCTGAAAGCCCAGTACGAGGTGCACAGCAACATACTAGAGACAGCCAACAACAGCTTCGAGCAGGCTCTGAAAATAATTCCCCTGTCGGACGAAATGTTGCAAAGACAGTTCCACAGCGAGATCCAGGATCGCTGGAACAACGTGAGCCAGCAGATCGACAACATCCAGGAGCACTTCACCCAAAACATCTCCTCCGAGGAGATCTCGTCGAACGAGAAGCTGAAACTGCTCGAGAGGGAACTGAACGAACTACGAATGACCATCGACAGTTTCCACGGCGTTCTGAAGACCGAGGAAGAGCTGGACCTCTACATCGAGCGTCTGACCGTCCTGTTTGATAGGATCTGCCTGATCCAAGACGAGCTAGGTCGTCTGGGTCTACTTCCCGTGGCGGAAAGCGAGAAGGTTGGTGTCCTGTTGTCCTCGGCTCGCAGAATAGAGTGTCAGATCAGCGAGGAACTGGACGCAGCTCAGCTGCTGAGGGAGAAGCTTCAGACCATCGAGCGTGGCCTTAGCCGCGTTAGGAAAGCTCATCAACGGCAATCATTTATATTGGACCAATGCGAGGGAAGCGAGCGTCAGGGCAGCGACGTGGTCGCAGCTGCTGTGGATCGGTGTCAAACCGTGGCTGACGAACTCGCCATTTTGTGGCAGGATATCATGGGTCTGAGACAGCTCTTGCATACCCTACCCACCATAATGAGAGTCTCGGTCTCTCCGGTCAGCGTTGAACGAGACATTTCTAATCTCCAAGACGCCCACACCGATCTGGAGGCTAGATGCTCTCGATTGACAACGTTGCTGAAGAGCAGACTCTCCTTGTGGAGAAGGTTCGAGAAGCAGCTAGAGATGGTGCAGCAGTCGGTGCAAGAAGCAGACTACATGATGGAGCTGTTAACCGTACAGGGACCCGTGAATTATGACAGGCTACTGAAAGCCACCGAAAGGCTAGAGGTAAGTTTCAATTTTTCCGCTCGATTCTAGAGGCGATAATACATATGCACTCACCCGGTACATACCTTGACGTGTTCTTACGTCACGCGAGCTAATTTTCGTTAATCAAGCAAGAATTCTAATTTAACCGCGAGTCGATGCACGATGCCGATGAAACGATTCGAGGCATCCAAGATTTACGATACACGCCCGTGCTCGTGTACTCCAACATTCCTTGAAAGTGCCGAGCCTCGGAATGCGTTAAAACTTGCAGAAGTTTGAATAACTAACCCAATGATATCGACCGGCCTGCTTTCGCGCGCCCTCGACACTTTCAATCGTTTGCAATCGAAGAAACTACCTCTGCTCTTCTATAGACAACACTCGACCGTATAAATATTCCAAAAAATTCATATTCTCTACGCGTCCGAAGAACGCCATAATATACGTTCGTATATACTCGTCCGCGCTTTTTCTAACCTAACCCTTCTCTGATCACGACCCGCGTAGGGGATAAAAAGTATTCTCGAACTGCTGTTAAAACTGCTGCGGCATACTCCCGGTAACCGTTATAGATTTCAAGAGTTTATTTAACGAAGCGAAACTTCTGCACGGATGCACCTGTGCGTCGCAGTTTGTCGATCAATCTACGCTTTTACCGGAAGACGCACTTTCCTCCGCGATAACCTTCACCACGTGCGAGGGAAGTAGCGCGGTTCGAGCGACGCGCATGCGCGCCGTGGGATACAGCCAGCGTTATCGGGGGTCGCGTATCAGTAGCACGAGTTCCGTCGACGCGACAACATCTCGCACGTATTACAACGATCTCATTCGTCCATTACCCACCGCGATATCGACGGTCCGCGAGTAGTGACAGGAGTCCAGTGCTTTTCTACTTTGCAACGCTGTTTCCCTCGTTCTGTCCACCTCGCGAAAGACTCGTGCGCCGCAGTTTCGACGGCGCTCGTGAAATGAAGAATGACGGACCGTGGTAACGCGATACACGTGGAAAATCGAGGAAACGATCGACGCAGACGATCTCGGAGAACGGTCGAGCATGTCGGCGCTCGGCATAATCGAATCGGCTGATCGGAAGTAAGCACTGAATATTCATAAATGACGAACATTTGAACCGTCATCGAGACCATCCGCTAAGTTCCAAGGCGAATCGGATTAAACTGTGTGTCAGCGTTAGAACACGCGATAAACACGTCTCGAGTATTATTTTCGCGCGTGTAAACACTGTTTGTTTATTTATTTCTTTCGCCGCCTTTTGACCATTTATATCGATATCTGTGTACACGCGTGCGTAAGAACGAAGAATAAAAGTAAAACACTGGGAAACCTCGAATTTTGTTTCTCCTCGGTGTACCGTGGGTCGCAATTCGTTATACACATAATCCCGAAGCCTGGTCGAGGGACATGTATACAAACCTGCAATAACAAATGACTCGTTTTAAAAGGGCCGTATAGACAACAACCGTGCCCGAGGTATAGTCAGTTTTAATTTGGAGAAAACAGGGTATCGTTTATCCTAGATAAATTCTTTGAATAACGATTAGTCACGTTTGAACAGCGTTACATTCGTTTAAACTGACGTAAAATTAAAATTCCACGGTTATCGCTCGACTAAATGTAATAATCGTAATCAGTAACAGGTTCAAATGGATCGTCCTTGATAAAAAGACAGAACCAAGTCATTAGACGTTTGCTCATTTGCATTTATCGTAATTTATAATTTCGCGAAAAGCGTCGGGAAAAAGGAAATAAAATAAATTATATTCGATACGAAGAGAGAAATTAAAATAAATAGTTCAATTCCTTTATACCGTGATACTCGTCGAGCTGAGATATTTAATAACGACGCGAATTGAAAATTTATCGGAGAGAAATAAAATAAATGAAAATATTTGATACGCAGGGAGAAACTAAAATTTGTAGTTTCATTTCTTTATACCGAGTTATGATACTCGTCGAACAATCGCGAGTATTTAATAACAACGCGAATTAAAAAATGATGAGACATAAATGAACTAAAAATATTCGATTAGTCGAAGAATTAAAATTGATATTCGATTATCGGTTGGTCGAACTGAAATATTTAATATCGAGTAAATCACGAAAGGTCGGCCGAAAGGATCGGTCGGAAGATCGGAGAAAATGGCAGCGCAGACGTGGAAATAACGCAGGAGTGCAATACTCCCGTTAGTGGCAGCGTAATGAACACAACGTGCATCGCAATGAACGGGACGCATATCGAAATAAATGGAAAAAAGCGAGCATGTAGCAGACGCTCGTTAATCCACATTGATATAATTACGCGGGATGACACGCACGAGCACGACGACTAGTACGTATGACGCATATGATACGGTATGTAAACTATGCCACGTGGAAAAGCACCGGTTTACTTAGTCCGCGAGGGAATCGATGTTTACGATTGCCTTCACGTACCATCTTTTATCGTCTTTTCAAATTTTTCGTTACATTTTTAGGTGGCATTTTCCGTCGCGTCTCTGCGAACGCGACTCCGAGCCTAGACACCGGGAACCAAGAATAATCGTGCTTTCATATGCCTCGTTTTATTATTCCGCGCGCAATCGGTATTCCAGTCTGCGTTTAATACGAATTGGCTGCTTTGAGTAAGGAAATGTGACAGAAATATATCGGTATTCCGTTGCGGTGTTCGAAATAAGATATCGGTAAAATCGTTGTTTACTTTTTGCAATAATTATTCGTTTCATCGGGATACTTTTAACACGGACTTTCGAGGAATTTCAACATGAACGACGGTATCGGCATGTAAGGCGGAAGCCCTGGCTAGCCGCAGCTTCTTCTTCCGTGAATAATCGCATTTACAGACGGGGAGATATATGCAAACGAAGTGTCGTAAAATTACTTTATACATCCTGCAATAATTATTCGAGAAATATATTTTTAACGCTTTCGCGATGCTCGAGGAATTTCAACACGACTGTGTTAAAGCAAAGAACGGAAGCTCGGGAAACTGCAGTTTCGCAATTCCGCGCTCGTTGCATCGAATAAAGTGATCGAAAATTGTCGTTGACATCTCGCAATAATTATTTCTCTAATATATTTTTAACGCCTCCGCGATGTCCGGGGAATTTCATGCTCAACGGCTGCGTTGAAACGTAAACCGGAAGCTCTGGGTCAACTGCAGTTTCGCACCGCATTAATTATTGCAATTCCGTGCCCGCTATTTCCAACGGATGAGTCATCGTAAACGAAACGCCGGAAAAATATCGTTTTCATTTCGCAATAATTATTCGGCCGATGTATTTTTAGCCCTCTCGCGAGACACTCGAGGAATTTCAGTCTCAACGACTATATCAGCACGTAAAGCGGAAGCTCCAGGCCAGCCGCAACTTCCTGTTCCGTTACTTATCGCGATTCCGCGCCCACTATTCCGAACAGAGAGCGCTCGATGTATTTAGTGACTTCCGGCTGATGAAAAATCGACCGATCAGCCTCGTTGCAATCGACAAGTGCATCGTCGCCTGCGTGCCACTCGTCGGCTTGAAATAGACGAGCACAGGCCTCGATTATCCCGATTAATCGCGCGTTGCACAACTTTCCGCATACTCGTCCTCCGCCCGAGATTTGCTTTCCTATTTCCCGATTCAAAACCGATCGCCGTAAAACCGATTCATGAAAGCTCCTCCGAGAAGCTCCAAAAACTCCAAAAACTCCAATAACTCCAATAACTCCAATAACTCCAATAACTTCAAAAACTCCAATAACTTCAAAAACTCCAAAAAAAACTCCAAAAATCTCCAAAAAACTCCAAAAACTCCAATAACTTCAAAAACTCCAAAAAAAACTCCAAAAATCTCCAAAAAACTCCAAAAACTCCAAAAACTCGAAGTTCCTCTGACAGAGGCTCGGAAGAATCGTTGGAGCTGCTAAATCGGAATAAATTTCTTCGTTGTACAGACTTGGAGTCGAGACCTGAACGGAACTCGGGGTAACTCGAGCTCGTTCGAGTCACCGGTGGAAGTTTCGACGAATTTCGCGGCGAACAACGTTGGCAGAAAATTGAACGGAATGGCTGCACGGTATCGGGGACGAAAGCATTACAGAGGAGCGCGAGTTTCGCCGGCTAGGAACGCACTGAACGCGATTCGATTTCCGCTTACGGTTTCGCCGGAAAACCCTCGGCCAGGTGAACGAACTCGAGTACATGACACAAAATTAGTCCAACCACGCTCTGACCGAATTCGAGACCCCGCGTCTCGAAACGTGCTCGGTCTCGTGACTCAAAATTATTTATAGTACGTATTTAAGGAAAACCGACGTGCGCAGGCATTCTTTGAGTAACACCGACGGTGTACGCTCGAACCTTACGGATCAGCCATGTCCCACGATCGTGCGAATATCGTGCTAACTGGCATTCTTCGCGTTCGAGAAATACGAGTACTCGGGTCAGAGTTTCTCTGGGGAATCCACTTGAATTCGCAGAGAAACGAATCTTTTTCTTCTTCCTTTTACGCGACGAATTAGGGGGATTCAAAAATTTGAATGGAATAATTTTTATTTTAATCGCGCTTTGAATTCTATCTTCGGAGAAATGGTGGAAAACTCGATTCCGTTTACCCAGCTCGCGATTTATGATATATTCGATGCACGGATCGTTTAGTATCTCGAAACAAAGCGTATGTGACTGTGCTGTTTGCTCGGTAAATTCTGAAGAACCTATCCAAGGGAATAAAATATGCTAATTCGGACACGTGCACGAGGAAGAGAATTAGGAATAGCTCCTCGAACGTCTCTGGACGTAGCGGCCATGACGATTATAGCTATCCGTGAGATCACTCAGCGAAAGGAACAGAAACTCTCCGATCTTCTTCTCTTCTTCTTTTACCCATCTCGTACGCGAAATTAAATAATTCCGTTTACTCGCTGAATATCCGAAAAATATCCGAGGGAATATGCAAATTCGACCACGCGTAGGAGAAGGGAATTAGGATAGCTTTTTCAAAGGTTAACGACCATGACGGTCGCAATTAACCGTAAGATCACGAAGCAAGTGATCCATTGATCCTTCTGTTAATCGTGTCGACTAAACAATGGAACAATGTCCGAAGTTTCCCGGTTTTTCCTCCCGTTACTCCCACATTATGCAACCACGACGCGATCTCATATGATGGAAAGGAGTAAAGGCGAACCTGCTCGTATCGACGCAAAATATCGCGAAACCTGCGTCACAGATAATTATAATGATTAGTAATAACCATGAAACGCGTGCAAAATGTATTTTCCACGGTTAGAATGTTTATGTTAGTAGGCGGGTATATACGATAAAATATATACGATGAAATCATAGACCTAACGCGTTACGCTCGCTCGTGTTTCTGATATGTTAACATATGGAAATCGGAATAGCGAGTGATACCATCGCAACAAGGCGTAATAAGAGTGGACGAAGAGGCGGGTAATCGGTCGTGCAAAATCAATTAAAGTTCCATTGAACCCCCCCGGGTCCGATAAAAGAAGCCACAGAAAAGTTCGTTCCTGCGAGCCGTACAGAGGAACGCGGATAAGCAAACCGATTAAACGAGCTCCATCAAATGGGCTTAATTGATAGGTGTATCGAGCTCGATAAAACACAAAGGCACGGGAATCTAATAATCCTTCGCCTCGTATCGACGAATTCTTCTCGGAAATTGATCGCTAATTAAAGACAAATTGGTCTACGCGTGACAGGAATACTCTTTTCCCTTTAGCTGAATTTTTTCGTTCATTTTCTTGGGATTTCGTCAAATTATTTGGACGTGTATACAGACGTATACACAGAATTCGGTATTAAATTCGGTATGTAACAAGGAAAATTGGAGAGTAAGAGCAAGCGAGGGTAAAATCATACGAACGAAGACGATTTATCTACATATAAGATTTTCCATGATCCTTTTATCTGATCGATATTCAAACTTTCTCAAATTTTTTGACAACTTGCAAATATACGTCGAAATTTTATAGGAGAGACAAAGGAAAAGATCAGGAGATAATTTCGTTAATTGGAACGACACCAAGAATTTCATTTATCTCGAGATTAATTTCTAGATGTTCGCCAATGCAAGAGGTAAAATGAAAGACATCGCGATAAAGAAGAAATAAAAAATATATTACCTAACTTTTGGTAAATTTTTCGAGTCAGTTTCTGCGCAAATCGCTTATTAGAAAATTCCCCCATAAATCTCGCATCGACTTTGCTCGACACCTGTCAAACACGCGGGAAGATGCATACACGAATACACCTGTATGAAAAAATAAATTATCTCGATTTGCAGGGTCTCAGCGGTAATTTGGGCGCGCTAGACGTTCTCATTGGCGAATTACGAGAGGCTGCCGAACCTCTGCGGGAGGGTTGCTCTGCAGAGGTCCGCGAGAAGGTCGAAGCGGCGGTAAATGAGGCCGTACAGGCCTGGGAGGACACCAGGGCCGAATTAGATGCCCTTTGCACCAAGTATCAGCACGCGTGCAGATTGTGGCAACAGTACAAAGACTCGAGTGCCGCGGTTCAGGCCTGGGTGGACACGCATATGGACAACGTCGCTGACCTGCCACCCGAAGAGGCCGTCAAACACATCAAGGTAAACCGCGAATCTCTATTTCCGAATCTCTCCTACACCTGACTGACTAGTTGACCGGTTGTTTGACCGGTCAATCGGTCAAATACTCGATTCTTTCGCCCCGAACTTTACTCGTCAACAACGAGATACGGCGTTATCTCGAAAATAAAAATACACTACGAGCTGGAAATTAGAGGAAAAAGAGAAAGAATAGGACGAAAGTGGAAAGTTTCCGTGGCTCTAAATTTAGCGTTCGAGTCATCGAATTTGCCGTTACCGTCGGATTACGCCTCCAAAATTTCTACTGCTTTCGTTCGCGGTTTCTGAACCCTAGGGACCCTATTGTGTTCCAACCGATTCGGTAAGCCGATTGCACTATGACTCATGCGTGGGCTCCGATGAATTACCGGTAACGATAGTAGCCGCCAAGAGCAATCCCTGTATTACGAATTGCTATGGCAAACGTAACGAGATTAGTCAGTCTTACGATATTGGGTTAGGTAAGCAAACGTGTTGGAAGATCATCGAACGTCCTTCACGGTTTCCTTTGGTTCCCTTCGTAGATCCTCCACGAGCAATGGTATCCTCGTCTAGCATAGCCTTATTTTGGGGAACATATCGGTGAAAGCCTGGAAACTTACAACGGTATCGGCTATTATCGCTATCTCGTTCTACATCGATGACATAATGTTCATTATCGATACACGGTAACGTTTGTACACACTGTCGAACAGGACAAACTGTCTGTCGACCGCAGATAAGCCGTGAATTTCGTATCTGCGAAAATTGATCAGCTCTTGTTCACCTGTCGAGCCTGACATGTCTCTACAGCGCACTCTTTTTAATCGCGACTATTTTATACGAGGGACAGCTGATAAGTACGCGGTTGAAGGCATTAAATGACGCAAAAGATTCGAGGAAATGTATTTATTTTTGGGTATAATCTCCTCCAAGTGCGGTACATTTGTGTCATTTAACACACAACAGGAGTACCTTCGTACCTGAAATTTGTGCCATCGTTAACGAGATGTGACTCATTGCTAGGTACTTCGGGTCAAACACTTATCAACTACTATTCGTACCTTTCTGCCTGGATTCGAATCATTTTGTACGTGTGTTACGAACCATCTCACGAAATCAAAATCGTGGTAAAAACTGGGAACTATCGTCAGAGTTATCATCTGCCCTTTAACATTATGGATTATCGAACCAGTCAAAATGGCCTCGGACTTTTTATTTCTCTCAGTTAATAGGAACATGGATATATTTGTTTATTTTCATCTTATCGTTTCAATTACTGCGATGCATATACTGTTACAGTATATTACTGTACGCGCAGTATGCGAATTTTCATGTATATGGAAACGTAATCACGGATACTTGTCTATCTTTATCGTGTCACTTTAATTATAGTCATTATATACACGCTATTCATCTGTGATTACAAGGAAGAAAGCTGCGTATCATATTTTCATTTCCAGTATGTCGCTGTCGAGCTTCGAATATTAATTTTCCATCTATCAGCGTTAAATTCGATTGCGCAATTTTCTTGAAGACACGACGTTCCTTATATTGTCAAGACGAACAGAAGAATGTGTGTATAAACCTGATATAGTAAATTACAAGAAGCAGACGTACACTCAAAACACACGACGCATACAAATACACGCATACATGTACGCATTCATACACAAACATACAGTGTACACACTCTCGCGCGTACACAAACACGCGATAGACACACTCGCACGTATGCAAACATATAACGTACACAAACACGCGACACACATACGTTTACAAGTACGATACACGAACACACGAGGCACAGGCACACGCGTATGCAGATGGACGTCTCGCGAGCGTGGAATACGGTGAAAAGGACGAAAGCAACGCAACTGGCCTAATCGCGTAAAAATGGTGGGACAAAGCGCAATACACGGTGCATTGAATGGCAGCCACGGGGTAGTGTCATCGTCCCCACCACGCCTAGTCCAGCAAAACTGCACGTAGAAGCCACGATTCACCCTACGCAAGTCCGCCGAAACGTGGCTGCGAGGGTAGGTCGTTGAAATACGGGGCAACGGACTGTCTCCCCACTCGAGTCGGGGTATGCGCATCGATCCCCGGAGACGGGGACGCCAGTGTGGTCCAGAGCGTCGGGACGCTTGTTTCTATACCATCGCTCGGCTCGCGTTCCTCGCCGCTTTTTCATTTCTCGCCGCGACCGATAAGCGTGCACAATCCGCTCGTAAACACGTTTCGCAAGCACCAACCGCGCGATTATGCGCGCACCGACGTCGGTGGCCGTCGACCGTGGCCAGTTTCCGGTTAATCGAAAATTCGTGGCATGTGCCCCGAGTCGGGACGACACGTGCCAGATCTGCCTCTGCTCCGTCTGCCGTCGGTGCGTCCTTCCTCGGGTAGAACGTGCGTGACGCGACGTGAAAAATAGGAACGATGAACGGTGACCTAAATTGTCAAGCATGTGCACGCCTGAAGAGATAAAGGTACGGGGCCGGGGATTCTGCGATATCGGAGTCGCGAGGGTTCCGGAATAGGGCGTCCTTTCTTCTCGCGCGAGTACGCGCGGGCTATCGATTTTAGCTCCTTATCCCTCGCTTCTTTTTTTTCCTATTTTATTTTTGCGTCAAGTGACCGGCGAGTCGTGAAGGTTCGGACGAGTTTAGTTTGTTACAGAATTGAGATTCGCGTCTCCCTTTGCGTCGTCCACGATGCTCTCGGTTCAGAGCGTGAGATAAGTGTGCATCAGAGCTGCGTCACCCGCGCACGTGTCATGCGATAAAGTGAAGTACTATTTTCTTCTCTCTTTTCTCTTTGATTTTGGTGTAGTGACGGTGGTTTGGTGGTTTTGCGTGAAATTATCTCGACCCATCTTTGAAATTTCTTTTTTCTTTTGTATACATGTGGTGATGTTATATTTGGAACACGCGGTGTTGTAATTTCGTGTTTCGTGCACGTGTGATGCGATGAGCTAGAATAGAAATTCCTGTTTTCTTATATATGTTGCGGCAGTAATTTTCCTTGGATTTATTTCGATTTCTAATTGTGACTTTCTTTTTTTTTAATCATCGGTGATGTCGTATTCGAGAACGTGTGATAAGATCGATTAAAATAGAATTTTTCTCGTTTTGTTTATGCAGTGACTGGTTTTCTTTGGATTTATTTCGATCTACTTTTGTGATTTTTTTTCTTTTTGTCATCGTTCGTGTTATATTTGAAACACGCGGTTTTATCACTTTGTGATTCATGCACGTGTGACAGGATAAACTAGAATAGAATATTTCTCCTTTTTTATTTATATAATGACAATAATTTTAGCTTGTGGTCCCTTTTCTTTGTCGTCATTGATGATCTATATTTGACACACGCGGTATTATAATTTTGTGACTCATTCACGTGTGATACCGCAAACTATAATCGACTTTTCCTCTTGTTTTATTCATGTAATAAAAATAATTCTTATTCGTGATCCCTCTTTTTATTATCATTGATGAAGAATATTTAAAACACGTGGTATTATAATTTTGTCACTCATGCACGTGTGATACCACAAAATATAATCGGCTTTTTCACTTGTTATTGTTCATATAATAACAATCATTTTTATTCGTGATCCCTTTTCTTATTATCATTGATGATCTATATTTGAGACACGTGGTATTATAATTTTGTGACTCATGCACGTGTGATACCACAAAATATAATCGACTTTTCCTCTTGTTTTATTTATATAATAATAATAATTTTTATTCGTGATCCTTTTTTTTATTATCATTGATGATCTATATTTGAGACACGTGGTATTATAATTTTGTCACTCATGCACGTGTGATACCACAAAATATAATCGACTTTTCCACTTGTTTTATTCATATAATAACAATAACTTTTATTCGTGATCCCTTTTTTGATAATCATTGATGAAGAATATTTAAAACACATGGTATTATAATTTTGTGACTCATGCACGTGTGATACCACAAAATATAATCGAGTTTCCCTCCCTTTTTATTTATACAGTGACAATAAGTTTAGTTCGCGATCTTTTTCTATCATCGTTGATGTCACACCTGAAACGCGCGATAGATACAATAATTTCGCGAGGCTTGCGTGATCGGTGCACGTGTGATGCAATGATCTAGAATAGAATTCCTCTTTATTTACACAGCAATGGTGCTTTTACCCGGATTGACTCCGCTCCGCCGTTGTGATACCTATTTCCCTCCCACCGTCGACATACCGCGTTCGAAACGCGAGATAATTTTATGTCCGATCTATGCGCACGTGTGATGCAAAGAACCGGAATAGAACCTTCGTTTCTTTGTTTACATAGCGTCGCTACTTTTACCCTGATTTATTTCGTGATTCGGTTTTTCCATCGTCGATACATGCGTCGTGTTCGATACGTGAGGTAATTTTGCGCCAGAACCGTATAATCCGGTACACGTGTGATGCAACGAACTGGAATAGAATTTCTGCGGAGTCTTTGTACACGACACTGTGGGCTAATCTAGCAAATTGTAGTTTGCATCCGCTGCTGCACCGGCATTCTTATCGGAACATGCATTCGTGACGTTCGCGTCGAACAATATCGAGTATGCACTTCCTATTGTCGGTGTGATTCTCGGAGTGAAGGCAATAACAGTCGTGACTGGTAAAACGTGCACCGAGATATCGTAGAAGTTGAAATTATCCACCCTGTATCTGAATATTATATTCATGCATAATAATAATTAAAATAAACAACAGCTACAATAAAAATATATAAGTACACTTACTCAGGATATTTGAGAGAAGTCAGGAAACTGCCTGTAATTGACAATCGATTAATTGTAAACACTCCTTAAGCATCGAATTACCTTTTATGAGCAAAAATTGGTCAAAAATTCTGGAACTTTTTAAATCAGGCAATTGCAGGAAATTGATATTTTATGAAACACGAATACACTCTCTTTTACACAAAATTGGTGGGAATTTACCACAAAGCACTAGACCTACGATGACCAGTCAAATGACAGGTAGTCGAAAAAATAAAATAAGTATAGGAGGAGATATTGAATTATTAAAAGATATTATCAAAAGAAAAATCGAGAAAGCAAAGTGACTCTCAAAGTGACAGTGAATGTGAAATTTTTAAATAAAAATTTAAAATCCACCATTTAATCCTGATAGGTTTACTATTAATAGATTAGATACTCACCTGAGCTAATTCGACACGCGAATAAAAGTCAGTATTTTCCGGAATTTTCAACGACTGCGAGGGAGAAGCATCTAGAAGTGGTTTCAAGCCCTCCGTGAATTTTGGTGCTAAAAGTAACACGCGAATTCGAGCGTGCGTCTGGCAAAACCGGAACGTGCAAATGGAGAAAATCACGAGCGGAAATTCGATCGAATCGCATCCATTTCACCATCTGTCATTTGTAGTCGTTCTGTCCCTTTTTTCCTACGAGGTCTCTCCCTCTGTTTCTCATTCATTCGCTCGTGCCATTCATTTCTGCGCGCGTCATTCACGAACCCCGGCGTTTACGTATCCCCGACAGTCTGGAATCGCGAAGGAAATTCGAATTTCGAGCGAAAAGCGTCGCAGTCGGACAGTCTATGGCGGCGAGCTCCGTTTTTCCAGCAACAAAGTCTATTTTCACTGCACAAAGTCGATACCGCTATCTTTAACGCGTATTTAACGAGATTTCGGTGCGTCCACGAATCCACGATAACAGCTAGGAACGAAAACACTTTAATCGTCGTGTTTTCAATTACAGCTAACTCGAAAAGACCAGTCGAGTTTAGATAAAGTCGATCGTAAGCAATGCGACTACTTTCTGTTATGGTGGTATGCAGGGTATTTAAAAGGTGGAGTCGTGAAGTTAGAAGACTCGTAGGGGTTGCTAGAAGGAGTGAGAAGGATGGATAGGATGTCTGAGAAGAGTGTTGTATTATTCGCGATTGATACGACACTGGGGAATATAATAGGGAATACTAGTTGGAAATATAATTTAGTTATTAACCCTTTGCCCTCGAGAGAGATTTAATCAGAATCTAAAGATCGTTGTTAATTAACCCTTTGCTTTGTTGTTAATTAGCCCTACGACTTTTTGGATAGAGGAAAGTAGAAATTCAAAGATTCTCTACTAAAAAACTGACGATACTTTTTTGAGCAGTAAATAAAGAATTGTATAATAATAGAATTGTAGAATTATTTGATTTCGATACCTCGCACACTGTTACGTTACGTTAAATTTCATATATTAATTAATATCGATATTCCAAATTTTATGAAATGGTCACTGAAGCTCATCTCTCGAGTGCAAAGGGTTAAATGATGTAAATATATAAACATATTTCATTATAATATATAATACATACTACTATTATAAGATTCTATAGAATTAAGCTAGATTTCTATATATTTAAAAGTATCTAAAATGAATTTGTTATTATTTTCGTACAATATATTTAACTATATATTACACGTGGATAATTTTAATTTCAATATTAAAAACTCGATCAACATTATATTCAGTTTGATATATTAATTAATATCGATCTTCCAAATTTTATGAAATGGCGACTGAAGCTCACCTCTCGAGTGCAAAGGGTTAAAATCTCGAATTTAAAATTGCCCAAGCGTGGAATATCTAGGTAAAATAATTCTACGTCTTACAATTAATTTGCACCTCTTATTTATCAATTTATTTTGAAAATATCGTCGATTTTGTGGCACGAAATCTTCGAATTACTATGTTTCTGCAACGAAAAGATCGCCGAGTGCAAAGGGTTATCACTATGCCGTCCGATGGCACCATATTGGTGTCATGTGAGAAAAAGGTGGTAACATTGCACGTGCGCAGTCTTTAGCATTCGGGCCCAATTCTTCTGAAAACAAAGAAAAAGGAAAACCGATCTTCGTAATGGCGCTTGCAATTCTTTGCGAAGAAAGCTAAGCGAAATTTTTTAATATCGCCATTGGGCCACTTGGGGCACTTGATAAATATTCGAAATAAATCTGTAATTGGGGCAATAATAAAACTCTAATCATAAATATCTCAAAAACAAGTTAGTCAAAAACAAAGTAGTTGCCCTTATAATGGTACATTTTCTTGAACTGGATAATTAAATCCACAAACCTGTAAAGTTTCAACTAAATCTATGACCCGAAGGACTTGCACTCTCCTTGTCAATAGAAATTCGCGAAGCCCGAACGAATCTGAAAATTCGCAGATGTTCGCTTTTAATTTTTAAATGCTTGCGTGTCAGCGAAACGAGGTTAGGGAAGGAAAACGCGAGCGAGATTTTTATTTGTAATAATAATAATTGAAAAACGGACGTCTATAAATTTAGTGGCTCGTCCGAGATTTGCGAATTACTGCGATAGGAATATCGATGAAAGATTAATTCGCGGAAGCAGTGGAAATCTAAGTGTACGATAAATATTCGACGCAGCTGCTTTCTCCGTTGCATTTTCTATCACGTTGGAATAATTCTGTCGTTGTTCATATTAACGAGTAAGCGAAGGTTCCTGGAGGAATTGAGGTTAGATGATAACGACAAATTAGAGGTGATATATTTCTATTTGCATTCATCTCGTCGAATATTCGTATAAGATAAAAGTTCTACGATTGTAGAGGCCTATTTTTCCAGCATACTGTATTTGTACAGAGATAACAGGAAAAAGATTTGCAACTCAAACGAAAGCATCGAATATTCATAAGCGCAGCTCCAGGTTACGTTTCCATTCAAACGTCAACCTTACCCGGATCAGTCAAAATAAGTCACCAGTGTGATGTCAGAGAGGAGTTCGAAAGTATTCGAGTAGTTCGAAAGGAATCGAATAATTCGTGAAGAATGGCATGTTTCGAATAAATCTAGCAGTTCGAAGGAAATCGAACAGTTCGAAAGAAATCGAATATTTCGAAGAAAATAGCATAGTTCAAATAAATCGAGTGATTCGAAAGAAATCGAATAATCCGAAAAGAAATCGCACGGTTCAAATAAATCGAGCAGTGCGAAAGAAGTCGAATCTTTCGGAGAAAATAGCATAGTTCAAATAAATCGAATGATTCGAAAGAAACCGAATAATCCGAAAAGGAATCGCACGGTTCACATAAATCGAACAACTCGAAAGAAACCGAATAATTCGAAAAGGAATCGCACGGTTTAGATAAATCGAACTATTCAAAAGAAATCGAATATTTCGAAGAAAATATCACAATTGAAACAAATGGAGTAACTCGAAAGAAATCGAATAATTCGAAAAGGAATCGCACGGTTCAAATAAATCAAACAGTTCAAAAGTAATCGAATATTTCGAAGAAAATATCACAGTTGAAACAAATCGAGTGATTCAAAAGAAATCGAATAATTCGAAAAGGAATCGCACGGTTCAAATAAATCGAGCAATTCGAAAGCAATCGAACAACTCAAATGAACCGAGCGCATCGAATACCAAATATCGAATCATTCAGCATTCAATCATTCCAATTCGTTTTATTCGAATCGTTCGATTTCGTTCCTTCGCTTCGATTCGAATTTCTTTTCGAAACCTTTTCAAAACCTCTGCCAAGTTCACCAAAGGAAGAAAGGAGTCCCCTGTCTTTCCTTTCCGCATCCTCGATCCTAAAAATGGCGAAGGTAACTGATTTTCGAATGTTCCACAGAATTGCGAGAAAACGATGGCGGAGCACAAGGAGCGGTTAGTGGAGCTTCAGGGCCTGGTGGTGCAGATCGGGTCGGACGTGGGCCCGGACGCTAGTGCCCCGTTGCACGGCGAAATGGAGGCCCTGGGACAGAAGTTGGACCAGATCCGTGAGACGCTGTCGTGTCTCGCGGACGCGGCCGACGCCCGCGCACTCAATCAAGAGCTTGCAGGTGGCGATCTACGTCAGACGAAAAATTTCCTGGACTCGGTCCAACAGGCAAGTGTATAATTCCGTAATATATCCATTTCCTTCTTCGTTTCTTTTTTATTTTTATTTTATTTTTATTTTCTTTTTTTTAGCACATAATATAACACGCTTGAGATATACATCGCGTGCATAAATTACCACGTTAATGGTAACCTAATTACCACGACTAAAGGAGCATTTCCAAAATTTGCATTAAAAATTTTGTTTACGTTTTCCACCTCGCATTTCTCTTTGAAAATCTTCTTTTGTTAAAAAATTAAAAAATCTGAACTGCTGCTGTGCAATGAGTACCTGAATTTTATATACGTTATCGGTGATGATCGAAGCGGCACGTTGATAGTAAGAGAGCATACGTAATTACCATCACAGTCGAATAAGAATCAGTATTTAACCCTTTGCACTCGAGAGATGAGCTTCAGTGACCATTTCATAAAATTTGGAAGATCGATATTAATTAATATATGAAATTTAACGTGACGTAACAGTGTGCAATGTATCGAAATCAAATAATTCTACAATTCTATTATTATACAATTCTTTATTTACTGCTCAAAATAATATCGTCAGTTTTTTAATAGAGAATCCTTGAATTTATACTACTCTCTAGCCAAAAAATCGTCGAGTGCAAAGGGTGAATTTTGCCATAAACGACTGCATACTCTCAGCAACTGCAAAGATAGAAAATTCAAAACAAATCATTTTGATAGTCATTTTCGTAATTCTAGTGTTAACTCTTTGCACTCGGAGATCTTTTCGTTACAGAGATTCAGCAATTCCAAGACTCTCTGCTATAAAGTCGATGATATTTTAAAAACAATAAATAAGAAGTCGGATACAAATTAATACTCAGAATTATTTTATTTCATTTTATTTTTAAATTTTATATATTAATTAACATCCATCTTTGGAATTTGATTAAATGGTGGCTTAGGCTCGTCTCTCGAATGCAAAGAGTTAATATTTCTTTTTGCCATATTTTCCTCGAGAGTTTCCACTTTTCCATCCACCGATCGTCCGACCAGTCGTGTTATTTTCAGTCTCAAAGTTCCCACGATCGAGAGTTTATTTCCATCTCGAAGCTCACAATTCGAAATTCACCGGTTCAACCACCGATCTTGCTGAAACTTAACCCAAGATTGATGCAAAAATCGGCAAACATTGGCACGAAAAATACCGACGATTAGCCCTTTGCACTCGGCGATTTTTTGGCTAAAGAAGAACAGAAGTTCAAAGATTTTCTGTTGCAAAGCTGACGATATTTTTCTGAACAGTGAATAGCAAGTCGTATGGCAATTAACCCTTTGCACTCGACGATTTTTTGGCCAAAGAAGGATAGGAGTTCAAAGATTTTCTGTTACAAGGTTGACGATATTTTTCTGAGCAGGAATAAGAAATCGTATGATAATTAACACGTAGAATTATTTGATTTCGATACCTCTTACACCGTTACGTTACCTGAAATTTCACATATTAATAAATATCCAGCTTCGAAATTTTATCAAATGGCAACTGAAAGGCGCCTCTCCAGCGCAAAGGGTTAATCTCGAATCTTTGGTTAATAATACCTCTTCGCTTCGTTCATTTTCACCCTTTTCTCCCCGATTTGTCGGAATATAAATAAAAATACAAACCCCGAAGAGTTGCAATGCGTGACGAGATCGATGTAACGCAAAGAGTATCTTATTTTTAAAATACTCGCACGAACAGAGGGCTTTTTAAGCGTCTTCGCGAGGAAAATGGCGATACAACGTGGTCGGAGATAAGATATCGGCTAAGTGGTCTAGCAATCACGGGTTAAAGCTTCGCTGCTATGGATGAATAATTCATGCGACGGTGCACGTTTCGCAATTCATTATTGGCCGACTGTCACTTTTCCATCGGCAGAGCACAAGCCGCGATAGATCTGGATCGATGGGAAGAGAGTTTTCCGGGAAATTTGAACAGGGGGACTAGGTTTAGTAAATATTTTGGCTACATACTGCGGATATCGTTGGAAAACGTGTTGACACGTGTGCTTAACGTCGTGTGGTCGACCGTGTTTATTTAAATTAGCGTCAGACAACTGGTAGGGACGTAACTACTCTTCCTCAACCGAGGTCACTGCTCGATACCACGCCAGAATTCGAATGAAAATGGATACCACTGAAATACTCGTGTCCATACATCAGCTGTGCATAATCAGATTTTAATTCGACTTATTTTTTAATCGGTTTATAAGGAGAGTGCAAGTCCTTCGGGTCACCGATTTAATTGAAACTTTGTAGGTTTGTAGATTTCGTCATGCAGTTCAAGAATATATTATACCCGTCACTACTTAATAATTTTTAAGATATTTACGATTAAATAGTTTTATCACTTGGGTAACTACAGATTTATTTAATAATTTTTAAGATATTTACGATTAAATAGTTTTATCACTTGGGTAACTACAGATTTATTTAATAATTTTTAAGATATTTACGATTAAATAGTTTTAAGATTTAATTTAGATTAAATGGTTAAAACCAATGGAAATAAATCTGTAGTTAAAGAAGTAATAAAACTTTGAAACTTTAATCGTAAATATCTCAAAAACTATTGAATAGTGGCGGGTATTATGGTATATATTCTTGGACTGCATGACGAAATCTACAAACCTACAAAGTTTCGATTAAATCGGTGACCCGAAGTACTGACACTCTCCTTGTGAGAGTGAACATCGAAATGGAATCGTTATTAAGAGCGAATGAGAGAGCAGAAACTTCTGGAAAAAATGAGTCGAAATTATTATTTCAAATAGTTTATTATTTATTGAATTGGGTTATTTAAATATTTTTACTCAAATATACTTTATGCGTTATTGGTAAAAACAGGTGTATAATAACTCCAACTTTGCAGCGCAACTGTGAAAGTTCACGTAATAATTACAGAAACTTGGTAATTTATTTATTTTCTTTTATATATAAATTTTATTAATTAATTGAGATAAAATCATTAACCATTTTTACCGACAGTGATCAGCGCCATCTATGATTTTGGACTCAGCGGGCAGAAAAGCAATAGGAATATAGAATAGGCAAGGAGGTCGACGAAGCGCTGGTCACGTGGTCTGGTCACGTGGTAGACAAGGACAGTAAGCGGTTAGAAAAGGATAGGATATACTCGGCAGTGAAAAATCATTAATTACAAAAATTCTGTAATTAATTTATGAACTTTTATAGATGCTTCGGAAAGCTGAAACTCTGAGCAACATTCTTATGTTATTTTCGTGTATAATTTGATACTAATTAATTTCTGATAATTAATGACTTAACGGCATACGTGATTTCGTAAGAACGACCGCCATGATGGCTCATTGAAATAATTAATTCTGAACTAAACGAGAAGTAAAATGTGATGAAAAGTGATATGAGAAGATGCGCAAGAACATTGTTTTTGTAATGCGTGCATGAAGTTTCATAAATTAATTGCGTAAAAGATAGTAATTAATGAAAAACTATTACCATGTACGGCATTAGTTCGAACACGCCGTAAAATAATTATTAATAACAAATTAATTAACATCAAATTATGCACGAAAGTAATATAAGAATGTTGCCTGTAATTTCAGCTTTGCGTTGCAATTATAAAAGTTCGCGAATTAATTACAGAAACTTGGTAATTTATTAATATTCTACTGCCGAATTGATTTATTAATTGAAATAAAATCAATACCGATTTTACCGACTGCGGTCAGTACCATCGGTGTTCCCGTTAACGAACTTAAGTTTCAAGTCCGAAATCATAGATGGCTCTGATGTCAGTTTACTAACTCTGGTTATGTGCTTCCGATATATTTTAATAAATCAAATCGGCAGTGGAAAATTCACTAATTACTCAATATCTGTGATTAATTTATGAACTTTTATAATTGCATCGTAAAGCCAGATCCTTCAAGAACTTTCACATATATTATTCGATAGAAATTTGTCTCTAATTAATTAATTATTAATAATTGTCCTATGCAGTGTTTGAATTGTTGTCGAAGATCGTCGAAGACGCCATTGGTTTTTCATTAATTACTATACTCTACGCAATTAATTTATGAAACTTTAAGCACTCATTAGAAAGACAATGCTCTTGCGAATCTTCTCATATAACTTTTGATCACATTTTGCTTCCAGTTTCGTTTAGCATTAATTATTTTCACGGAAGATCGTAATGGCCGTCGTTACGAAATCATAGACGCCATAAAACAAAAATTAATAACTAACAATTTAGAGTTAAATTCTTTACGAATATTATATAAGAATGTTGCTTGAAGTTTCAGCTTTGCAATGAAATTATAAAAGTTCATAAATTAATTACAAAAATTGAGTAATTAATAATTTTTCACTTCCGGGGCCATTCTTTCCTTTTCTATCCCCTCTCTGCCCTTGTCTATCACGTGACCAGCTGATCGACGACCTCCTTGCCTATTCTATATTCCTATCACTTTTCCGAGCAAATGAGCCAAAATCATAGATGGCGCTGATCAAATATCTCGAAGGAATCAGTGCCGTATCAATGGATTGCATTAGGGGTATATTGAGATTATTTAAGGGGATTCGTATTATGTATCATATTTTGATGCATGTTTAAAATAACATTTTTTTTTTTATTCCTTTGCTATTTATACCATAATATGAAGGATACAGCTACTCTACGTAAACAATATTTACTATTAATTTTAGCAATTCATTTTTACTAATAATACCTTTATTATTAATTAATACATTATTAATTATTTAAAATGTGGACAACATAAAAATTCCAAACTAAGAACAAAACAATGAATAGATAATACTGTTTTAAACACAAGATAGAGATACATATATACTCACGTTGTGTCTATATTTTCACAACGGGTCGGTTTACGCGTAGTTACGGCACTGTCGCGGCTAGAGAAGCGAGCAATGGCTGCGTGGCGGTAAAACGAATATTTTCTTGACTCGATTATTATAGATATTTCGAATCTTTTTTAATTAACTGAAATTTTGTATATACAGTGTGTCAACGAAATATTGCACAATATGTTACTAGAAAATTAAGACCAAAAAATTTTTATTTTAATGAAAATCCGCATACACGTAGAGCTCAGTGAATTCTATATACAATAATTTTGTTACACGAGAAATATTTTTAATAGAGCCAAATAAATCTCCAAAGTTTCAACATTTTCTCATGCTCTGATTACAATCTTTTCCCGAATTCTTTTTCATAAGAGAACGACAGAGTATTAAAAATTAAATTTTTCATATATAAAATGTTTCTATATATGTAAAAAGCTTTTCCGTATATTGTGCAATTACAAAGTTGTAATTAAAAAGCAGAAAGAGCAATGAAAATACAATTGTACGATATACAGGATGTCCACTTAAAGACTGAACGACATAAAGCAAAAATAATTTTCACAAACACGAATTTAATTGTTTATTATTTTATTTAAAAATACAATTAACAGATATTTCCATTATTATGTATTATTACCATTCTCTAACTCGCAGGAAGAGAAAATACAAAAATAAGAAATAAAAAAATTGACTTCTTCAAACTTTTCAGTTCTTCACTGGCCACCTTGTAGATACTCCAGAAATTTGAATTTTCTCGCGACATAATGTGCCAATATCTCACCACCTGTACGTAAGAAATTTTAAAAAGACTTCGAACTCGAGAAATATTCGAATTTACACGAGTCGAGGATTAAATTTATTAAATCGTACCAGCGAATTGGAGTGTTAACCAGAGATCGATGGATCCCTCGAATCAGCGCGTCGCGGCTGGATTCCACGGGGCTTGTTTCTGAGAATCGAGGGTTCTAAAGTAGTAAGCTTCATACTGGCTGAGGAACAGCATATGCTCTCTTATTCTGGCCTTCGGGAATCCGTCTGGGAGCGCAACACGCTCCTAACGCGCGACTGAAGCCTCGCAAATTCCATCGTGCAACTGACCGCGTTAAACAATCCGGACTTCCATCTAACGTCGAAAACGAAACTTTCACCTGAACGATTCCCTATAACGACGGAAAAATAGAACTCTCGCGAATCGTGTACCACGAGAAAGATACGAAAGTCCCAATAATTCCCCGATTCTGTGGATCCCACGATGGATCTTTTATCCTAGATTCCATGACGAGAAATGGAACTTCCGTCCGAATACTTCTACGATAAAACGAAGCTTTCGTTTAACCCTTTCGCTACCAGAGCCTTATGAGAAAAACCGTCACCACAGCCTAGACGTCTTATTATTTATTTTTGTGGGATGTATCTATAACGTTCTAACTAAGTGAAATTAGCAATTTTAAAAGTCGGCACACATAAGTGACACTAAATATGATACCAATTGTCGTTTATTTTTGTGGGATATATCTATAACGTTCTAACTAAGTGAAATTAGCAATTTTAAAAGTCGGCACACATAAGTGACACTGATCTATAGATAAATAATTCCTTTGGTAGCCCCGTTGTCACATATATATGACACATTTGATTAAAAGGAAATGAATAAAATTGGAAAGGAAATGGAAAATAAAGACTTTACGTATAACTAAGCTAATATACTTGCGGCACCACTTAGTGCAACCAATTAAAAAATATTGATAACACGTAGCATAAATTTGTGATGCCCAGATCCTTTTTAACACGTTGAGTGCGGCGCCGATTTTGCTATACTTTCCGCTCAGGCAGCAGCGAGTGAACACTTGATGCCGAGCGCTCAAGTATACTGAAAAGTATGAGCAAAAGGTTACTTTGTTTCACTTTGTCGTTTGGACTGTGAGAATAGTACAGCCAATGCACAAATATACAAATTATAAACAAGATAACGAGGTGAGGAATGCCAGAAAGGCAAGAAGGCGATCACCAAGAGACGATCAGTCGGGAAAAGCCACGGAAGTGTAAAGATTTACTTTAGCAGAGGGAATTAAATTTTTGCAATATATTAATTGTCATTGATAATTTAACCCTTGACAATGCCAGTCTTACGCACCGATGTTGATCAAACGAAAAGTTTCAGGGACTGTCCCTAGGGACTGACAGTAGATTTTTCGTTTGAACGGTGTGGATTCTAGGGACTGACAGCGAACTTTTCGTTTGATCAACATCGGTGCATAAGACTGGCATTGTCAAGGGTTAAATTGTCAATGACAATTAATATATTGTAAAAGTTTACACTGCCTGAACGGAAAGTTCACTGTCAGTCAGTCCTTAGAATCCACACCGTTCGAACGAAAAGTCTACTGTCAGTCCCTAGGGACTAACGTAGCACCCAACGTGTTAAAAAAGTAATTGTCACCAGACCAATAACATCCTGTATCTATTTTATTGTTTTATAACATAACCCGTGTGTGCGACACGATTTGGTACAAACGATTATCATAAACTGATAATGAACACCCGTCACATATTTGTGACGCCGGGCTCAAATAAGAAAATCAGGTCGTCAGATATATGTGACGCTGGTAGCGAAAAGGTTAAACTAAGGTACCAGACGAGAACAGAACCTTAGTCCTATCTATCCCGCGATCGAAGACCGATCGGATCGATGGGATCGAAATCGAAGAGCGAAGTTTCGCAGCGTTTCCACGACTCAACGTCCCGCAGCATCCTCCCCTCGGTGTTTCAAGTACATTGAAAATACACCAGAGCACGCGTTACAAAATATCGCGGCTGACGGCTATTTTTATTATCGCGCAAGGCTAACTCGGTCGGAAGCGGACGGAAGAGCCTTGGCTGATCACCCGTCTCGAATAGCTGGTATTCGTTGGAAATTTTTCGAAATAAACCGCGTCCGCGATGCAGCTGTCTGTCAAGGTGATTCCTCCGGCGCGTCAGAGACGTATCGTTGTACGCGTCCGTCAGTTTCCGGCGGCGTGCTATTGGTGCTTGGCACAGGCCCCGATCATTACCTCGCACGCGCTACGTTTATATTTTAATCGCGGTAGTTCCGAAACAATTTGTTGTGTCAAGGCCGAAGGGCTTGAGCCGGGGTGGCAATTGCATCGGTCACGAAATCCGCAACAGCTGAATCCGGCCGTGCACCCTCTCGACTCGAAACTTTCGCTCGCGGCGATGAAGCAACGCGGCGCGGCGTTTCCGATCGAATTCCACAATCGTTCCGCGATGATTCGTCGTTCGTCGATGGAAATCCCCCAAGGACGAGGCTACGACGACGCATTTCGTCGCAGAAAAAGCGGCAAGCGAGTCGATATTGGGGAAAGACGCCCGGACCGAGCGAAGGGTGCTCGAGATAAGGGTGCGGGGTCTTCGGACGTCGAAGATACTCCCTTTGTCCATCTATATACCCCCGTTCTGTATCCTTCGCGAAGCTTTCGAGTATCTGAGAGAGCCTCGACGCCCGCTGCGTTAGCTATAACCCTCTTTTCGAGTAGATCGATCGATTTAACGCTAAACCTATTGCAACTGGTCATTCGACTGGTCACGTAACCGGAGACTCGGTGGATGAACGAATCTTGGGAAAAATGGAATATTTAGAAACGTTGCTTGAAAGAGTATGGTAGACTGTGACTCGGTATTGAACGTTTATCGAGGTGAGAAGACGCCGAGAGTCTGTGCTAGGTCTCGCTTCCGGCTTTAGACCCCCGCGTACGGGAATCTCCTAGACTAAATAAGTCTAGGAACGAGTAAAGGTTTGCTTCATTTCCGATGTATACACGGCGGTTGCGTTAACGAGATCCTTTCGTGTTTGCACAGAGTCTGACCGCGGTGAGTCAAGGCGAGTCGAGGGAGCAACTGAAGCTCCTGCGTAATCAGCTTCTCGCGCTGACGTGCACGGAACCGCAGCTGCAGTCGATCAAGGAACGCAGCCTGAAGGAGGTATCAGCCCAAAAGTCCGTGGTCGAAGTACTGCAACTGTGGCAGAAGGTGTTCAGAGAAACCTTCCAAGAGTATCAGCGTTTGTCCGCTCGTCTGGTGAAAACGCAGGATGGTGCTACTGCTTTAAAACTCTGGCAGGAGTACCTGTTCCACGTGCAGGACTTCCTGTCCAACGACGTACGCGGCGACTACAGCGGTCTGTCGGAACACAGGAACCTCTGCGAGATTCATCGGAACCTGCTCACCGATCAACAAAAGCTCATCAGCACGGTTCGAGCGGAGGAAACCGGTAACCTGTCGACGACCGAGCTGTTCAACATCCTGACCAACCTACACAACGAGACTCTGGCTAAGATCACGGAGAGACTCGCGACGGTACGCGACAGATTGGCAGCTTGGGACAGGTACAAGGCGGACCAGAGCAAGGTGTTGGAAGTGCTGAAAGCGTTCGAGAGAGAAAGAGGTCAGTTGCATCTCAGGTTCATCCATCTACGAAGGTTGGATGACATCCTGCTGAGGATAGAAAGGATACTGGCGAGGGTACCGTACGGCGAGTCGGAACTCAGGTCTCTGCAGGAGCAACAGGAAAGCCTGTCGATCAATTGCGACGAGGCATTGGCAGTGTCCATCCGCATGGAGCACGCGGCTGACGCTCAGAGGCTGGCCAGTCTGAAGGCCAGTCTGGAGACCTGGAGAGACTTCATTCAACGGATACAGAAGCTGTACGCGAAGTACAAGGAACAGACGAAAGGAATCAGCTCGACTTTCGACGAGATCAGCCAGGCTCTCAGTATTGCGTTCCACGCGAAGCCTGCGAGTCTGTCGAGGACGAAGGAGCAGCTGGAATCTATACAGAGGCTACAGCACAGGCTGTCCGGCATGACTACCGATATAGAGTCCCTGTGCGTGATCACGGAGCAACTGAGAGAGTGTCTCAGCCCGTCTGACATGAAGTCGTTGAATCAGCAACGAACGATACTGTGCCAGCAGCACGGAGACCTGGAACACCAGGCAGCGTTGCTGATCTGCAGACTGGACGAACGTTGCGGTCTCTACGATCGCTGCAGGGACAGACTGAACAGATTACTCAGGTGGATAGAAGAAACGGAGAGCAGAATCCAAGACTGCGACTCGATGGCACCGAACGAGCCCGAGGTGACTTTCAAGAGACTGGAGTGCGAGCTGCAGGCGGAAATCGCGTTGAAACAGCGCGAGCTGCTATGGGTGCAGAACACTGGCCAAGATCTGATAGACGTAGCCGAGGAAGAGGAAAACATGGCGCTGCAGCGTTCCCTGGACGAATTGAACGAGAGATGGAATCGATTGCTGGTCACGCGTATAGCCAGGGCTAGCAAGCGGGTGGATCTGATGAAAACCATGAGCACGTTGGAGAAGAGGATAAACGAGTTGAGGACCTGGCTGGCCAGCGTCGAGGCTCAACTCTCGGAGACGTTCGTGATCGAGACGATCGAGCAGAGCTGCATCGACAAGAAGCTCGCGGATCACGAGCAGCTTCAGAAGTCCATCGAAGCTGAAAGCGGGAATATCGGCGAGGTGTTGAACCTCTGCGAGATCCTGACGGAATGGAGGGCCTAGAGCGCAGATGGACGACTACTTGCGTGAAATCTGGCGAGAAGAAAGGCAAGATCATCCTGGCCTGGAAGATTCTGCAGGAACTGGAGAGAATCAGGGGCGAGCACGAAAATTGGCTGGAGGAGACGGACAGGGCGCTCTCGGAATTGGAGAACAACCTGGACGAGATCTCGAAGGAAGAGTCAAAGAATGCTATCGAGAGAGCGAGAAGTATTTCCGAAGATATCGAGTCGCACGAGCCGGTGATCAAGATAATAGAGCAGAACTTTGGTCGTTTGGCTAGAACAGGCATGGAACCAGATAATCTGAAGATGCTTATCAGCGCCACTAGACGACTTATCGATAAATGGCAGACGTTGAAACCCAGAGCGAACGCCGTTCTATTGGCTCTCCAGCAAGGACAAAAGAATTATCGAGACTTCATCACGGTACACGGCGCGGCGGTCGTCGGGTTGACGCAAGTAGACGTTCGATTGACCAGAACGCAACACCTGGCCACGCCTGAGCAGAAGGCCTCGATACGTCGCAGGCTACAGCAGCTCAACGAGATCGAGGAGGAACTTCGTACTCAGAACATCACGTTGCAGAAGGCTGACGAGTTGGCGTTGAAGGTTATGCAAGAATGTCATCCGGATGACGTGGCGACTATCCAAGAACTGGTGGACGAGTATCAGCTGCTATGGAAGGACATCAAGAAGAGAGTTGCCTCGTTGAGAGCGGAGATCGAGGGACAGGAGAAGCTCGAGGTTGACGAGGCTGTGCAGGTAGAGACTCTCAAGTTCGAACAGGACACCGCTGTCCAAGTGGACACTTTGCCGAAGCTGTTAAGGATGACATCGAGCGACGCGTATCTGATGGAACTGGAAGCTGCTCTCAACGAGTGCAGCGTCGCTTTGGACACGTTGGAGGCGGCCATTACCCCGGATCCTGTCGCTGGACCTGGATTAAACGCGGCTGCAAAGAACATAGTAAGTTTTTCATATCGTTGACACGTTGAACGCCATGACAGTTCCTAGGGACCGACGCTAGACTTTTCCGTTCAAGCCTCGCTTGGCGTTTAACGTGTTAAATAATTAAGAAATTCCGGAATTAAAACCCAACCATTCGTTCGACAGAGCAAACTGATAGGAAGCTGTCAATCGACGATAGAACTCGTCCGCCATTTGCACGGATTGCTGATAGAAGGCGGAAAACTGAGCCCTCAGGCTGCCAAGGCGCCCGAGGTAGCAGCGCTGTCGACCAGATACGAGAATCTCCTGATACTAGCGAGAACGCGTGAACAACAGATCAGAGAACTCAGGTAGAACCTTGTACCTAACAGTCGTAATTGTTTGTTTGACTAACCGTTAGCACGACGAGACGCTGTCTCACCGAAATCATCCAGTCGACGTTAAACCTCGAATTTTTCACGCGACTAACTCCAGCGATTGCACCTCTCTCCTAGCAATAAGTGAGTGTTCTTACGTACTAATAGTTTCTCGTTAACAGTCGTTAGCGATCTCCGTTTCTCCCTTACCCGCTTCTCTCGTAGCGAATTCTGCGCGCCGGCGATCAGCATGCTGTTGGAAACTTGGTCTAAGGGAATCTCGGGAACGGAAAATGTGAAATCTCGTTCGTTACAGCGACAATGGAAGACTAACCTGTCCACTGTGCTCGCGTCGCAACTGGGCTCAGCTGGAGAACGACCTGTGGAGGCTGGAGATGTGGCTGGAGTTCGCCGAAGGCACCCAGAGCGAACAGCATTCGCCACCGAGTAACATAGAGCAGTTGGAGGACATTATACACGATCACAGGGAGTTCGTGCTGGATCTGGACTGCCATAGGAGCATCCTGGTCAGCTTGAACACCGTGGGTGCTCATTTGGCCGACCACACGGAGGACCTGTGCAGGGCTACTCAGCTGAGGGACAGACTGACGGTCGCGAATACGAGATGGGACAAAGTGTGCAGCACGGCTGCACAGTGGCAAGAACAACTGCAAGTGGCGTTGATGTCGAACCAGCAATTCCATCGTATTATAGAGGAGTTGCTCATCTGGCTGGAGAAAACTGAATGCAGTATACGAGCCAGCGAGCCGGTCGATCTGACCGAGTCGACGGAGATCATGACAGCCAAGTATAATAAATTCAGGTACTTTTCTTCTCCATTTCTTTTTAACGTTTATTATTGTAGGATGGCGAATACTGGTCTCGAGACACCGAAACTTGTCGAAAGAACAAGAACGCGATAACACAAACTCAAAACTCGTAAACTGATTTGACTCAGGAAAAGAACACCAAGATATCGAAACGAAAACGCACAAAGATGCACTCTTTTAAAACTCTCTTTCCAACACCAAGCGACTCACTCTTGTGCTGGTCACAACCGATTTCTAAGCACTCTGTTTTGGTTGTCAAAGACCACGCTTTTATGCTTTCTGCTTGGAGGAGTCACGCAACTTAATTTTGTTATATAGAATAACTTTTCGATTTGCTTCTAGAAGATATCGATCGGTTTACAATTTGTTTTTGTTGGCAATAGTCGATTCGCGATTTCTTTTGGTATCCTACATTATCTTTTTAACGTTTATTAACCCTTTGCACTCGAGAGGTGAGCCTAAGTCACCGTTTAATCAAATTCCAAAGATCCGTGTTGATTAAGATGTCAAATCTAAAATAACCTAAGCTTGCGTGGAACGTCAAAATAAAATAATTTTAAGCGTTAATTTATACTCGATTCCTTATTTACCGTTTCAAAAATATCCTCGACGTTACAGCAGACAGTCTTCAAATTACTATTTTTCTGTAACAAAAGTAATCACCGATTGCAAAGGGTTAATACCCCTTATTTTTTACCATAGCGCTACTACTATCACAGCGTTACTATAGTATTACTTTTTAGTGCTGCAATAGCGTTAGTATGGTATTGTTAGGGTACTATTGTAGTACCGTTATAGTATTACGATATTACTATAACAATACGGAATTATAGGATACTATAGAATTTCTGTAACATTACGATTCTATTACAGCTTTATATATACCGTTGTAGTATTATTTTAATATACTATAACGACACAGGTACGCAGATTCTAGTATAAAATATCACCGACGTATTATCCGAACGCAAATGACAAAAGTTCGTCTGTAAACTGTAACTCCTTCGCGATAAAATTCTACAAATTCTTCGGATTTATGCAAATTTTTCGCTCAGAAAAATACGTTCGATATAATTTTAGTTTTCATGGGGTTTAGCACGAAAGACACGCTATTACAGTCTAAGGGACTGACGATCGTTTCATGCATCCTATTCAAGAAGAAATATTGAAACTTGTCGGAGGGCAACGATAGTGGACGAAAACCACATGTCCCACTTAGTCACTGTGACAGAACCATAGCGAGTTACAAGGCAAAGGACCCTCTTTCTTTACATTCTCAGTTCTTATTCTCAGGCATCGAAACAGCTGGCACACCAAAACCTTTCCTCTTACTTGTTTTATATCGTTACTTCACTGTATATGCAAGTACCTGCTGTACAAATCCTATTATTAAGGAAATCGGGCTAAACATGAATATCACGGATCACAGCCGTGGTTTGTGAATAGGGCCCAGAAAATTTTGAAGTCTACAGGATTTCATTTCTTAAAATGGCTCCACGTGAGACCATTCATTCTCCATTGATTATGGCACAGCCATCGGAACTTCGGTCCTAGAGTAAGGATTAATAAATATACATAGTATCATAGGCTTAAGAACCCTGAATAGAAAAGAGTCATAAAAGAGAAAGCCAGTGAAAGTGAATTATGGGTATACAATATTTTTCGAAGTCCGTGAGGGTAAGGGTAGTTTTAAAGGTATAGTTTTCGTGCCTTTCTATACATAGGCAAACACGTATTCTGATATAAGATATTTCTTAGACGCGGTAGATTATATCTATTATCTATTATCTCATAGTCTAAATTTTCATTTGTAACCCTGTTGTAAGTTTTGGTTCTTTCTTATTTATATATATTATTGTATCGAATTTCTAGGCGGATTAAACGTATGTTAAATTGGAAAAATTGGAATTGGTAGTTTTAAAGAAAATTAGGAAAACCAAGGGACCTAGCTTTTCATATAACCGCTATCTTTGTACAATCCTACTTAAAAAATATGTACAATGTAGACGAACAGTATTGCGTGTTTTGGGACGAATAGAAGGCTGTGTCTTACACGATAAGCGACGTACCCCATAATTTCTATTTATTAACTTCTATAGTTATATAGAAGTTAACCCTTTGCATTCGACGATCTTTTGTTATCGAGAAATAATAATTCGAAGACGTTCTGTCATATAAAATCAAGGATATTTTTAAAATGGCAAATAAGAAATCGAATGCAAATTAAGACGTAGAATTATTTTACTTCGACATTGCACGCATCGTTAGGTAATTTTGAATTTGATATATTAATTAACATCGATCCTTACAATCTAATTAAATGGAGACTGAGGCGTCTCTCGAGTGCAAAGGGTTAACTTCTATAGTTATATAGAAGTTATAATATTAAAAATTATTTAATTAAATTATTACAGTATAATAACTTCTACCACAATAGTTTCTACATTTTAATTTAATTTACATAGTTTCTGCATTTCATTATATTTCTACTTACATTTCTACATCTCTTTACGTAGTTTCTACATTTTAATTTCAAATCTCAGCAAGACTAAAGACACGTGTCCTTTCAGGGAACTGAGGAGCGACCTGGAGAGGTGCGAGCCTCGAGTCCTGTCGCTCCAGGAGTCAGCGAACCAGTTGCTGGACGAGAAAGGCGAAACCAGACCACGCCTACAGGAACTGCGGCTCAGATTGCAGTCCCTTCGCAGGCTGACCGGGATATATGCCTTGAAACTAGGAGCAGCCCTAGGAATGGACCCACGAGACGTCGGCCTAGCAGCCACGACGTCTTCTCTCGCTTCCCTCTCTCACGATGTAAGCCCCGACCCGTCCTTCCCGCATAATTTTCTCGATGTAATTACTCGAAACGGAGCAAAGTTCCACCCGAAATCCTCCATATCGATTCCCCGTAAGAGAGCAATAGCTTGTACGAAATTTCCAGGGAACGCTCCGAAGCTACTCGCTGCAACTCCATGATTCTCGCTTCTTAAATGTTATAGTCCTCATTGTAGATCTATGCACTTACGTCGTAGGATCACGTTCGTCGATACTTTAAACACGAGGCACGGAGTGTAATAAAGATCCAATGAATATGGAATACTCGAATGGCAGGAACCGTTTCAAAGCGTTTTGCATGAGTTGTTTAAGAGTACCGTTCTCTATGTTGTATTTGTAGAAAAATATGGGGTGAAAAGATGGAACGCGAGTTTAAGAATCTAGAGAAGGATGGTCAGTTTAGACGAATGAATTTTAAACGCTGGTTCCCGTTGGAACTTTATTTCTCCGTGGCTCTGTAACAGTAGCATTCACACGCACAGTACCTTATTGTTTGTGTTTTCTCTTTTACTGTATTGTAGCTGCTCGACGAAGCTGCCTCTGGAACCGTTCAGCCCACCGACGCACCTGGCACAGAGTATGTTTCTTCATTTTTCGTTTCAAGTTCCGAGCAACATTTACCCAACACGGTTTCCACGTAAATAGACCTATAGTCCATGATCACGTAAATTTTCCGAGGTCTTTGAACGATTTGCAACGATCGATCGAAAATTTGGAATCGCATAAAAGACGAAGAAAGAGAAATTAAGCGGGAGAAATAAAAATTCGACAAGGAAAAGTCGGAAGAATCGTAGTCGATATCTCGAATCGGAAAAAATTAAAATTTAATGCAGAAGAGTCTTTAGAAGAATCGTAGTCGATATCTCGAATGGCTGAGGAATAAAAATTCGGTACAGAAGAATCGGTAGAAAAATCGTAGTCGATTCTGGTATCGGGAAAAATTAAAATTCATTGCAGAAAAGTCGAAAGAATCATAGTCGATATCTCGAATCGGAAAAAATAAAAATTCGGTGCAGAAGAGTTGGTAAAAGAATCGTAGTCGATATCAGTATCGGGAAAAATTAAAATTCGGTGCAGAGAAGTCGAAGGAATCATAGTCGATATCTCGAATCGGAAAAAATAAAAATTCGGTGCAGAAGAGTTGGTAAAAGAATCGTAGTCGATATCAGTATCGGGAAAAATTAAAATCCGGTACAGAGAAATCGGAAAAATCGTAGTAGATACCTCGAATGGCTGAAGAATAAAAATTCGGTACAGAAGAATCGGTAGAAAAATCGTAGTCGGTACTAATATCGGGAAAAATTAAAATTCGGCGCAGAGAAGTCCGAAAGAATCATAGTCGATATCTCGAATCGGAAAAAATTAAAATTCGATGCAGAAGAATCGTTAAAAGAATCGTAGTCGATATCAGTATCGGGAAAAATTAAAATCCGGTGCAGAGAAATCGGAAAAATCGTAGTGGATACCTCGAATGGCTGGAGAATAAAAATTCGGTACAGAAGAATCGGTAGAAAAATCGTAGTCGATACTGGTATCGGGAAAAATTAAAATTCGTTGCAAAGAAGTCGGAAGAGTCGTCATAGTCGATATCTCGAATCGGAAAAAATAAAAATTCGGTGCAGAAGAATCGTTAAAAGAATCGTAGTCGATATCAGTATCGGGAAAAATTAAAATCCGGTGCAGAGAAATTGGAAAAATCGTAGTGGATACCTCGAATGGCTGAAGAATAAAAATTCGGTTCAGAAGAATCGGTAGAAAAATCGTAGTCGATACTAGTATCGGGAAAAATTAAAATTCGTTGCAGAAAAGTCGAAAGAATCATAGTCAATATCTCGAATCGGGAAAAATTAAAATCCGGTGCAGAGAAATCGGAAAAATCGTAGTAGATACCTCGAATGGCTGAAGAATAAAAATTCGGTACAGAAGAATCGGTAGAAAAATCGTAGTCGGTACTAATATCGGGAAAAATTAAAATTCGGTGCAGAGAAGTCGAAAGAATCATAGTCGATATCTCGAATCGGAAAAAATTAAAATTTAATGCAGAAGAGTCGTTAAAAGAATCGTAGTCGATATCAGTATCGGGAAAAATTAAAAACCGACACAGAGAAATCGGAAAAATCGTAGTGGATACCTCGAATGATAGAAAAATAAAAATTCGATGCAAATGCGTGCGAGAAAGCGATTCCAAATTATTGACCGATAACGCTGGCATGCCTGCGTCAGTGTCTCGATGCAAAAGGCAAAAATCGGAGAACGTTAGCTCGGACAGATTGAACTTGCAATATCTCCTCTGCTGTTCGAATAAAGTACATTGTTCCATCGGAACAAAGACCATAACGAAGGTACTTAGAACGGGACGTTTGCACGCGTGTTTCAGTGGTGACGACGGCGAACGCACGGTATTGTCTCGGGGATACCGTTTCCTGGGGCGAGTGTTGCGCGTTTCCTTGCCGATCCAGGCTCTGATGCTGCTGTTCCTCGGCGTCGCCTCTCTGATGCCGTCCGCCGAAGAAGACTACAGCTGCATGCTGTCCAACAATCTCGCCAGAAGCTTCACGCCGATGGTGGTCTATCCGAACGGGCCGCCGCCGATCTAACGATAAAGAAGCCTAACCTCGGACTCATCGACTTCGCCGGAGGCAGAAGAACGTTCAACCGGAACATCCAGAGGAGTCGCGCGAAACGGAAGCGCGAGATCGCGCAGGATCTGCGCACCTACTTAACTAGTCTGTCGCACGCCGATCTGTCGATCCTGTCGAGCAATCGATAACAACAGATCCGTTCTTTTCTTACGTTAACGTTACCTTAGACACGATATTACGTTGTATAGACATATAAAACGTTACGGAGAACGTTTGTACTTGTGCATAAGGCACGCGTTACGGACCAAACGATCGTCGCACGGTACGACCCCTAGAATCCGTTTACCCATCGTTCCGTATAATTGTGATGTTGGTGCAATATTTGCATAATACCCTTGTCCCAGAAACCACGAAGAGTCGACATTTCAGGCGAGAACTATGTCCACGAGAATGTAACTCGGCCTCGATTGCACTGTTTGCATACACTGTAATCGACGGATCTGTTTCCGGTCCCCGATCTGTTTAGCCCGACATTCCATGTAACATTACCGCGTTTGTATTTATACGTACACATTGTAGATATCGTTTCGTTGATAATCGTTAATTTACCCTTGATCCTTCTACTTTACACCACCCCTTCACCTCCCTCCATCTTCTTTTTTCCGTTTTACTCTACACACGATCGGGATGATGACGATGAGAATGATGAGCGTGCGCGTGCGAGAATGTGTGAGTGCGAGAAGGAAGGATTAATGTGACATGGAATGCGCGAGAAAACGTTGACGATTAAATTCTATTTACGATTATTATAACGATATAACGAATCGCTTGCATTGTGCACTCTCAGATAACGCGAAACGAGACGGGGTGGCGATATAATATTGAACGTACTTGTAGAACCTTTCAGTTTCGCGATTTTTGCGTTAGCACGTAACGAAAGGGGAGAAATATAAGAATATATACATACTTGTTCGACTTTATTTTTTATACGTTGCGTTTATAACACGACAGTGTAGGAGATCGGAAAACGAAACACGTCCACTGACCGATACTTCAGCGTGATCGCGAACGCCATAGTCATTGGTGCTAATTCGAACGACAAAGAGAAACAGAATAATTATTGTAATACGATTATATTATCACCGATATGGTAACGAATTCTTCTTCTTTCCGTTGTTTCGTTTCGTTTTTCCACTCTGCTTCAGTTTCTCTGCCGGAGAAACGAAGGATCACGAGGAGACGAAAGAATAGGGTAGAAAGAGGAATGCTGAGACGTATCTCGCGTGTAATAACCCAAGTCGAATGACGAAGTTACCGATACCTCGAGCCTGAGGCGGTGTCTTCATTTTCTTTTCGTTTATTTTTTCTTTTTTTTTCCTCTCTGTCTTTTTTCCCATTTTTCGAACGAGAACGACACACTTTTGGATACGCACAAAAGGATCACGAGTTCATATTCGACGTACAAAACGAAAGAACGACTGTATTTAACGGCCCGCTAGTTTCGCTTCCTAATTTATCGATATCTTGCTTGCTACGCGACCAAGCTTTGTTATGTTTTTTTTTATAAGGACAGAGCTTTCCGATGGCGGTGTACATCTGTCGATGTAATATAATTACAATAAATTGAAACCTATACAGAATTTATTTCATTTATTCCTGTAAATTGCTCTCCCGATTCACACGCGTGCGTTAAACATCGAACTAGGTCCTTTTTAATATATTTATTTGTTAAAAAGGTAAGAATAAATAATTCTGATTCGACACGTGTGACATAGGTTCGTGCTCACTGGTCTGAAGTTTACTAAATTGACCACTTTTAACTTTAATCGTTGACAACTGTCTTTCGCTTGGCTATGAAATTAAAACGAGATGAAGTGTTATTTGAAATCTGTACCAAACCACGCTCCCCTTTTGCGTCTATTAATTTCTCAACGCGTGTCTCCCAAAATCGCGAAGAAAAGAAAAGCAAGACGACGAATCAATTGAAATCGGTAATTAACCAGAAGACTACAAAATTTCCTTAATTTACTACTATAAACCACCCTCGAAATACAGCAAATCGAAAACCACACAATCCCAAAACCGTCCACTGTCTATATCCAAAAGAAAAATTCAAAACATCGACGTCCACCTTCCAAAATCACAATTGGGACGTGCAAATTCGGAAAAAGGATGAAAAAAAAACTAAACTTCGATTAAAATCGGTTAACAATCGGCAATGAAGGCTGCAAGACTCCAGATCGACTATAGTTACGATAAATCCGAGCCTCTACAAAATTTCCCTCATTTACTGATCCAGCAAATCGGTAACCTGGTAATCCCAAAACCACCCACCATCTACGACCAAAAGAAAAATTCAAAACATGGACGTCCACCTTCCAAAATCACAATTGGGACGTGCAAATTCGGAAAAAGGATGAAAAAAAAACTAAACTTCGATTAAAATCGGTTAACAATCGGCAATGAAGGCTGCAAGACTCCAGATCGACTATAGTTACGATAAATCCGAGCCTCTACAAAATTTCCCTCATTTACTGATCCAGCAAATCGGTAACCTGGTAATCCCAAAACCACCCACCATCTGCGACCAAAAGAAAAATTCAAAATATGGACGTCCACCTTCCAAAATCACAATTGGGACGTGCAAATTCGGAAAAAGGATGAAAGAAAACTAAACTTCGATTAAAATTGGTTAACAATCGGCAATGAAGGCTGCAAGACTCCAGATCGACTATAGTTACGATAAATCCGAGCCTCTACAAAATTTCCCTCATTTACTGATCCAACAAATCGATAACCTGGTAATCCCAAAACCACCCACCATCTACGACCAAAAGAAAAATTCAAAATATGGACGTCCACCTTCCAAAATCACAATTGAGACGTGGAAAGGGGGGAAAGGAGGAAAGTAGACAAAACGTAGGTTGCAATCGATTAAAATTGGCTACGAAGACCGCAAGATTAGAGAAGAGCCTAATACACGGTTCGAGAGCCATTTATTACGCGATATGTCTATATACGCTTTTATTAACTCTGCGATCATCACTCGAATCACCTTGAATCGCCGACGACGAGCGCCGCGTCTAATCGTAAGTAGCGGGACAAACACACGTGGTTCGTCTGCGATTCGCGGGCTATTCGCGCGAGTGCAGCTAAACGATTAACAGCGATATTCGGGATGCAATTATCGAGTCCCGTGGGCGCCGCAATTAACTTTATCAGTGGCGCCTGAGGAAGCGCGATGGAAAGACGCTGGCATAAACGCAGTGTGCACAGTGCTTAGATGTTGACGCTCCGCGTTAACTTGCCTCGCAAGTTCATTATACCCGGCACTGAGACGTTTGTACCGTAGCTGGCTCGACGTGTCGCAACATGGTACCCGTTTGTTTTCTTGCAGTAATGAATAAAGTACCCAAAGTGGTTACAGTCCGCGCTAAATCTGGAAAATTTTCTCAAGGTGCCCGCGTCTCGTGACGCGTCGCCGAGAAACGAATTTTCGGAAGGCCGACTGGATTTCCGGGCGTAACACTAATTGCCCCACACCGGGGCCCGTTATCGTCTACACCCGTACGAAATAACACTCGCGAACACCTTTCTAACATCTTTCTCGTGTTTTCATCCACGAGATTATCCTCCGGACGACAGATCTTCAGCTCGTCAGTCGTCTTTGACGTATCTGTCTTGGTCACGCGCGAGCTGGTGATCTGACGACGCATCATTTGATCGCAGGTCGAAGAAAAATGGCCAATTGTCTACTCTGAATCGATTAAATACGAAACGGTTAAATACAGTAGAATTCCGAGCATGAATTTCACGCGAAGTACGTTGCTTGACAATTCTTTAAGGAAAGGTAACAAATTATGGAGGATGCTGACGTGCGGACACGTCGATGTTTGAGATGTTATCGGGTAATACTCGATTTTCAATCTGTTTTACTGGTTCGATGATGTTTAAGTAATGGAGACACAGTTAGATGTGTATATTACATATGCTATATGCGTGTATTCTATTTTATAGTTTATATTTGCTTATAAATTGCAGTAATATGTTATCCAAGTTTGTCTTTCAAATTACACTTCATGAACCAATTATCCGGCATATTTCTTTGCTTTCGAGTATTACGAATGTATGGAGGAACGAAAGAAAAAATAGAGTGAAACAGAGGTTATAATAATTTCATCGCGATCTCTATCGCAGATCGAAGGAAAATGGCGAATTGTCTACTCCTAATCTCTCAAATAATTAAATACACAGAAATAGCCAGATTTCTTTTTAACTCTAATAAGTTTATTGAAGAACGATAGTATGTACAAAAGTAATAATTTTATCGCAGATTAGCTATTTCGAATGCATTAAATAATTGACCCCATAGCTATGATTCGATTCTGAAAAATATATTGGAAACGTATTTAATATTGGTTAACCATTATCCCATTCACGACAAAATTGTATAAAAGTTTTCTAATTATATGACGTTAAAACACGTTATATGTAATTTTGCTCTTACCACAAGTGTCTTGTATAATTCCTACGTCCGACGAGAGTCAACGGCGAGTTAAGCTCGTTGTAGCGCAGAAATAGAATGAAAGGGGCAGATTTTCTTTCCACCCTGATGAATCTGCAGCAGCACGCGATAAGAAAAGATAGCTCGATATGTATGAGATTACGATAATTTTATCCGGTCGCATACCGGATAGATCAGAATCAGATCCGTCCAAGTCTATCCGCAGCTGGGTCGCGGAGTAGGAGTGAAAGAATGCGTCGAAAACGATCAGGATTTCGCGCAGACGTGTCATTTACGTGGATGATAACGAAAGCGATACTCGGTATTATGAGTACGTTACTTCAAACCGGAGGATTACCGTCGGTTAACGGCGTTTCGACGCGAGGCGTCGGTCGTCGCGTCCTGTGAGTATCCTGCGATCATCGGATCCTCGGACGGACTCGAAGATGAGGAAAACGAAAAGCTTGAACGATATCCCCGTGCTGTTTGACAAATGCAGCTATCACGGAGAGTCGAAAGTTTCGAAAACCTTCAAGCTTTCCTCGGAGAACGTCTCTTTCTCGCCATTTTCTCGCGAGCCTTTCGAAAATTCGGACGGCAGAAGAGGCTCGACCTCTTCGAGGGAAATCGTTCTGAAACTCGAGGATCAGAGAGAATCCTACGTCAGTGATTCGAGTACTGAGAAGGAAGATATCAACGAAAGAAAAACGCTGAAAGATTCGAAGGTGTCAAAGGTGAACGTCGAAGAGAAGATACGGGACAATTCTAAGGTAATTCCTTCGCATCGAGGTTTCTTGTCTCGTGCTTTTCGTCAGCCAAATTTTTCTTCCCGGTCAGATCGATGCTCTCGATGGACCTTCGAAGAAACGGAAACGGATTCTCTTGGTGATCGATGTTTTTCTTTCGTTTACCCTAATCGCTCCTATGACCATCGGATTTTGGAGAGGAACCTGGACGTTGATGGACATTTACGTAAACATGTGAGTTCATGCACCGTCTAGACTCGATTATCGAACACCGTGTTGATAAACGATACGAGAAATTCGTAAATTAAATAAAGAATTTTTAATTCGTTTTTAATTTACACGCACTTTCTTTACGATATACTTCCAGCTTCTCTTATTAAATAAAGCACATAAAATCCGTGGCTTTGTTATTTTTATTGTCCACTTTCAACATGCAAATTTGAGGACACGTACACTGTGTTGATTCGTTTTTAATTCCTTTTTCATTTGCGCACACTTTGTCGACGATATAGTTGCAGCTTCTCTTATTAGATAAAGTATATAAAATCGTGGCTTTGTTATTTTTATTGCCCACTTTGAGCACGCGAATTTAAAGACACGTTTTCGAGATGTCATTTATTCTTGAACTTCTTCAGGGACGAATTTATCGAGTCCGGGAAAAGAATTATTTTTCATTTCTATAAAAATATAGTTGGACATACAATCGTTGGAAGTCGAAGGTAAATACTCCAGAAAAGATTCTATATGCTCAAAAGCATTAATTAATTATTATGTTCATTATGATACTGACACACCTATATACAGGTGTCTCGGTATCCTTCGAGAGATTAATCCTTGGTATACCAAGGTATAGTCATTGACGTTTCATACTGGAAAGAGATCTAGGAGACTACATTACTGCCTCGCCGTTACTAAGATTATTTCTCCTTTCCTTTTTATTCCTGAATATTTATCACGCTTGGTATACCAAGAATGTAGGAAATAAGATAAGAAGATCAGTTTCCCGAAAAATTCGACGATGCTTCGTAAGATTGCAATTGAAATTGAAAAATTAAAACGGATGAAAATCGTCCGATGTTGTAAGATTTCCTGGATGGCTCACGTTCGTCTTGGGTTTCCTGATACACACGGGTTTCGCGGCATCGAAGAATTTTCTGCACACTTTTGCGATCGGCGTGGCAAAGCGGAACACGTGCTCGAGTAAGGTGGTTTGCAAGTGCGTGCAAATTTTCTACACTTACGTCTTCGGTATCGCCTGCAATATGTATTGGAGAGGCAGCTGGATCCTCTTCGATCACCTCTTCAACTATCAACTTTGGTAAGATCACGATTCGTGTTCTTTTTAAAAAAAAAAAACATCGCGAAGGTCGATCTGCGTACCGATCTCTCAACCAAGAGAAGAATAATGACATAGATTTACATATCCTGTTCATATCGCTGAAAGTCTGTATTACCTATGCAAGTGCGTTTAAAAGTTGGTAATTCTGGTGTTGAAGAAACCAATTACACGCGTGTTATGAAGGAAACTCGTGTCACTATCGACTAGCTGGGAAACACTGCTTAAGATGCGACGAGAATAGTTCGCTAATCGTCTCAGATGTTTTCATTTCCTATGCTAATCCCTTCGCCAACGCTTTTAAAAGATAGTGGCCACCTCGTGCCGCGAGCCAATAAAAGAGTGAAGGAAAATTGTCTTAAGGTTGATGTCAGGGTATTAACAATAGCAGATACGCGTGAACGATTGCAGTTTATTTTGTTTTAACGTGTATTTCGAGATTACGCGTTGAACGCGAGAAACTGTGACAGTATTTTTGCTCCTGAACCGTCTGCGCAATCGTCTGCTCGAATTTCCTTTTCCTCGTCAAAATTTTCATCGTTAAAAATTAAGAATGGACGCCATATATTCGAGGAAAAAAGAAATTGTTTATCGAATTATTCGAGTTTTGATTTGGATCCATGTGAGAATAATCGTGAAAGTGGTTGGAGTAAAATATTCGAAAGAAATGGATTTATCGTTTATTTTGTAGTACTATACTGTAAAATTATTGTTGACGAAATAGAATTGAAAAATTGAATCGTCTAGTCGAGTTCGAGGCTTTTTTGAAATTAAACTTTCTAATTTCTGATATATTTGGAGCACGAGATTTTTAATATTTCTCGACTTGGACCATTTTCGTAATTACTGACACGTTTAGTATGTCCCAGAGAATGTACAATGGAATCTAAAAAAATTTGCAAATGGCATTCCGCTTTTTAATTTTGTCAACAAATTTTTATTCAAGTTCAACTAACAAGTCTAATTATTCGACTGCATTTTAAAACTTCTTTTGCATCGCAGTTTCATATTTTTATGATTATTATTTTACTTTAATTATCGTATTTTTGTTGTATTAATAGTTACATTGAACCTGTGAATTTTATTTACTATATTTCTTTACTAATAACTTTCATTTCATTTACTATTGCTTAGCACGCAATTTCCATTTAATTTTCTATATTTTTTCCTACATTACTCCCATATCATTTGCAATAATTATTTACCAATTATTTACCAATTATATATGTACTATATATATGTACTATATTTGCTATATTTTTTATCACCTAATTTCCATATTATTTAGGATATTTATTTACTACCCACTTTGTTTCTACGAAATTTACAATACGCAAAACACGCTCGATCCCAGTTTTAAAAAAATATCATAATAATCGCTTCGATTAATTTCTTTTCCTTTTCCCTTTTAATTTTTCTGTTTTCTTTTCTCGCCAATTTTCATCAGGCCGATTCTAGGTGGTACCGTAATGGCAACGATAACCCTGGCGATCTCACGATCCCTTCGAAACCTCATAGCAATTCCGTTGGTGATCGCCGTGGACAAACTCATCTTCGTCTTCCGCTTCCCAACGAGATACAAACTGGTAAGCGGAACTAAAGTAAATCCTATAATCGCGAGGAATACTCGACCTTCCGCGATAAGGTGCACGAACGACTGGCAAAATGTGGGAGGAAGAAATCGCGAGAAATCGCGAGTTACGCAATTAAAAATCTCTACAGGGAATCCTAATTGCCGCGGTGTCGCGATTTTCTCCGAAGCTTTGCGAAACCATCACGTGTCTTTTTTGCAATTAAAATGTGCGGGATGATAACTGGTGCACTAATTGGATACTTTTGCGAAAATTAAATAAAAAGATATAGCAATCATCCTTTACAAATAAGTTTCAAATAATTTCCACGCAATTTTGTCAAACAAACGTATAACTAAACCGAAGAGAAAACATAAATGATTCGAATATTTGCTCGAAAATTAAATGAAAAAAGATAACAGTCATCCTTTACAAATAATTTTCGACTAACTTCCACACACTGTTCGTCACATGTATCTATAAACATAGGAAGAAATAGTAAAAACCAAAAGCTAAGAATCGAATTTTCTACCGAAATAAGTACATTTTGTATGTTCAAGCAGCGGTTATTTCAGAAAATTATTAACACTTATCGAACCAAAAGTTACACGTAATATTTAATACACGTGCACCAGTGTGCACTAATCGTGACGTGTCCATTCACCGTCACATTTACCTTATCCCCGATCACAGGATGGCGGCAGCAGAGACGGTACCCTTGCAAGCTCCCAAGCCTCGTGTCCTCTGGCACCCGAGGGTTGCCACGAGGAAAGAAAGAAGGAAAAGGAGAAAAAGATAACGGGTCAAGGTGAGAGGATCGTGGTAATCCAAGCTTGATTGGCGTACAAAAAGGTGGCGATTAGCGACGCCACGACAAAAGCGTTCGGCACGACAAAGGCCCGATGAAACTGGCGGGCAGGAAACGCCACTCAGAAAAATAAGGCTTCAAGGTGGCTCTGCCCCGTGGCCTCTTCTCCGACTGCTATCTCGTTTCTTATCAGTTAACACCGGGTTCCGGATTTGTTAATTAGCGTCTGCTTGTCGCGCAAACGTCGATCACGATTTACGCGGCTGCCTCACTGACAGCCCGATAAAGCCCACCGATTCAATTAAAATTCCCTCCTTGCTACCAGTCCGCGATATCGTCTGATCTCGCTAACAACCGCTAATTGCTCTTCAAGATACCTTCGTGAAGTCCTCCGAACGGTACTCCGATAAAAATCTTTCTAATTTTCCAAAACATTCTCGTCCGGGTCGACCGGTATGGAACTCGATCGCGGAAATCTTCGAATGGCGTGGTAAAGGTTGGTCGAGCTCGTCTAACGCGTCATCCAGTGTGTACTCGCGTACACATGCATAGGGAGAATCATTAAGTACCGGTTAGTATACTGGATGGATTAACGAGAAAGAGAAACGGGACAATCGAGATCGATCCCAGTTTTAAAAAAATATCATAATAATCGCTTCGATTAATTTCTTTTCCTTTTCCCTTTTAATTTTTCTGTTTTCTTTTCTCGCCAATTTTCATCAGGCCGATTCTAGGTGGTACCGTAATGGCAACGATAACCCTGGCGATCTCACGATCCCTTCGAAACCTCATAGCAATTCCGTTGGTGATCGCCGTGGACAAACTCATCTTCGTCTTCCGCTTCCCAACGAGATACAAACTGGTAAGCGGAACTAAAGTAAATCCTATAATCGCGAGGAATACTCGACCTTCCGCGATAAGGTGCACGAACGACTGGCAAAATGTGGGAGGAAGAAATCGCGAGAAATCGCGAGTTACGCAATTAAAAATCTCTACAGGGAATCCTAATTGCCGCGGTGTCGCGATTTTCTCCGAAGCTTTGCGAAACCATCACGTGTCTTTTTTGCAATTAAAATGTGCGGGATGATAACTGGTGCACTAATTGGATACTTTTGCGAAAATTAAATAAAAAGATATAGCAATCATCCTTTACAAATAAGTTTCAAATAATTTCCACGCAATTTTGTCAAACAAACGTATAACTAAACCGAAGAGAAAACATAAATGATTCGAATATTTGCTCGAAAATTAAATGAAAAAAGATAACAGTCATCCTTTACAAATAATTTTCGACTAACTTCCACACACTGTTCGTCACATGTATCTATAAACATAGGAAGAAATAGTAAAAACCAAAAGCTAAGAATCGAATTTTCTACCGAAATAAGTACATTTTGTATGTTCAAGCAGCGGTTATTTCAGAAAATTATTAACACTTATCGAACCAAAAGTTACACGTAATATTTAATACACGTGCACCAGTGTGCACTAATCGTGACGTGTCCATTCACCGTCACATTTACCTTATCCCCGATCACAGGATGGCGGCAGCAGAGACGGTACCCTTGCAAGCTCCCAAGCCTCGTGTCCTCTGGCACCCGAGGGTTGCCACGAGGAAAGAAAGAAGGAAAAGGAGAAAAAGATAACGGGTCAAGGTGAGAGGATCGTGGTAATCCAAGCTTGATTGGCGTACAAAAAGGTGGCGATTAGCGACGCCACGACAAAAGCGTTCGGCACGACAAAGGCCCGATGAAACTGGCGGGCAGGAAACGCCACTCAGAAAAATAAGGCTTCAAGGTGGCTCTGCCCCGTGGCCTCTTCTCCGACTGCTATCTCGTTTCTTATCAGTTAACACCGGGTTCCGGATTTGTTAATTAGCGTCTGCTTGTCGCGCAAACGTCGATCACGATTTACGCGGCTGCCTCACTGACAGCCCGATAAAGCCCACCGATTCAATTAAAATTCCCTCCTTGCTACCAGTCCGCGATATCGTCTGATCTCGCTAACAACCGCTAATTGCTCTTCAAGATACCTTCGTGAAGTCCTCCGAACGGTACTCCGATAAAAATCTTTCTAATTTTCCAAAACATTCTCGTCCGGGTCGACCGGTATGGAACTCGATCGCGGAAATCTTCGAATGGCGTGGTAAAGGTTGGTCGAGCTCGTCTAACGCGTCATCCAGTGTGTACTCGCGTACACATGCATAGGGAGAATCATTAAGTACCGGTTAGTATACTGGATGGATTAACGAGAAAGAGAAACGGGACAATCGAGGAGAAAATTTACGCGATTTTTCGTTGCAAGAGCTCGGAGAAGCATAGGAGGATGGAGAGATTTCTACCAAAGGACCTTCGACATTGTTGATCGCGGAACAGACTCCTCTTCCGGTTCAGATTTCCTCCGATAGTTTCCCGAGATTGGAGATTATCCTTTGGAAGCCGGGAAAGGAAACGTTGGCTGCAATGCCTTTGAACTTTCTTAGAACTGGTTGGCTTGTGGGTGTCGAAAGCTCGTCCCCGCGCTCGTTCATCAAGCCTGCACACGTAGCTTTAGCGACCCATGGGTGGGGGTTTGTCAGAGAGACGGAGGAAGGAAGGGAAGAGTGCAGAACACCGTACTATTCTCTATGCCATGGCCCGTGTGACGAAGCTGTTCATGATAATGCGATAGTGTTGGTCTGTGCTTAGCACTTGATAAAAGATAGCGGTGACTGAACAGATGCCAGTACTCACCCGCAGCCCGACCTGTCGGTTCATACTCTCGCGTACTCGCCCCGTGTGCATCGGTGCATCGTCGACGCACGGTATTGCGCTCTGCGATCGTCGAGAAAGTGCGAACACGAAAGCTCGGAGAGGCTGTGGCGACTGTACGCGAGTCGAGCTGCTTCTTTGACCGATCTCTCGGGTGAACCAGGTGCGTTGTGCGCGATGACGAGGTCGTCGGTGATCTGAATGTGTCGGAAGGAAGATACGAAACCCGTATCCGACTCGGTCTGCCCGTCGTCTCGAAACATCGTTCCCCGAAGAGATCGCGAGAGATTCGAAAGCGGAGGACGGAAGGGACTGGTCCGATAGGATGATCACTGCGATCCAGAGACAGTACTACTTTAAGAAGATCCGCTGTAAAACTTGATCATCGAGCAGGAAATCGTTCGAATCTCGATCAGCCGTGCAAGCTGGAATAGAGTTGCGAGCAAGGACACCGGGATGATGGCTAGGATACTCGGAAGTGCTCGGGACGCGAACATCGACCGGTAAGGAATCGTCGTGGATCGAGATCGTGTTCCGGGAGTGCGATCGTTCAGCACCGTCTAGACTCCGGCTGTCGCTGGAACCGCTTTGAATTGAACTTGACAACGATCGTGATTGAACAGAGGCTCAATTGGGAGATCAAAGAACAGCTTTTCTCGTCGAATAATGACAGCCGCTCGGTGGAATTCTTCGAAAGCTCGGCCCAAAGGCAGGCACCACCAGAGAGAGCGTACTACCACAGCCTCGAATCATGCATGATGAGCGGTGCGACTAGGCTCGATCAGGATTGGATGAGAATGGTCGAGTTACGCGGTGGCACCGGAATGACGAGCGGGCTGAGCGGTCGGTCATCGAGTCGTCTCCATTACACTATACTCACGATTTTGGACACGGTCTTCTCAGCCACTGTGGCCGCCCCGGCGGTGGTAGGGTACTGGAGAGGCACCTGGGGCCTGAGCGACGTCTACGTCTATCCCAAGGACCCGGCTTTCAGCAGCCTCACCTCGATAGTGATCGGTTTCATCGGGTTGTACGCGTTCAACGTCTCGCAGAATGTTCTGAACGAGCTTTTACATCCGGACAAGCACAGATTGTCGTACTACGTCGGGTCCAGGCTTTACACGGCCGTCTTCGGTTTCTGCTGCGTAAATGCATGGCGTGGCGCCTGGAAGGCCCTCGACCTGTACACCGAACAAACCGCCAGCACGGTTTTCGCCACCACCGCTGTCAGCCTCCTGGCACTGGCGATGATGCGTGCCCTCAGGAACATATCCGCGCCACCGTTCTCCCTTTGCTTGGACTCATGTCCGGGATACTTCGAAGTGCAGACCATGTTCCGCGTGAACGTAAGTAGACGATCCATTCGTGCATCGCCAAGCGTCAAACGTGTCGTCTGACCACGAACGATTCGGTACACGATTCTCTCTTCCCAATCACTTGAAATCAGGTCGATCATGGTCCTTTTTCAATCGGTCAACACCTAGTCGATGGTCTTTTCTAAATCGACGACAAATCGGCGAAGATCTAGTCGATGTTGATCCTTTAAAATCATCAAAGATCGAGTCACCCGCGAGCTCTTCAACCAGGTATCTTAAACGAGACGTGTTACGAATGGATTTTGCTTTCTGAGAATCCCATCTTTCTAGATAAACCTAGCTATAGATGTTTCCTTCCCTCGTCTTCTTCAATCCCACCATGCGAATTTCCACGCGATCTCGAGAAATCGTTTAACAGAGTACATGAATTCGAGGTGTCTAGAGAATGGCGGAAAATTTTCTATCCATGTAACAACACCGAATACCTTTTCATCTTTGCCGATTATCTTCGTAATCCACCATTTCGTTTCATCCACATTATTGTGGGTCACGAGCAGTGCGACTGAACGAAATCTCGTGAACCATCCGTGTATCTGAAAATATACAAACGTACTGTTAACTTCGAGAAATTTGTTCCATTATCGCAACTTTATTACCTGTTATTATACCAACATAATCTCTCCGGAAGCATTCCTCGAATTCGCGATTGCAAAGAAAATCGTGCAACACAATTTGATTAACTCCCTCATCGCTCGTTAATCGTGTTACGAAACGTTGAATTTAGCTGTTTGTCGGTAAAACATGGATAAAAGTAAATCTTGTATTTGCGAAAAAGTTATGCAATTTTTGACGAATGCTGATAAGAATCAACATTCGGAGCACAGGCGGCAGTATCGCGAAAACGAAAATACGAGCACGGAAATATACGATGTATATACATTGAGAACCCTCGATTTGCTCGATTTCGGCAAACGTGTCGATAAGTCGGTGGAAAAATCCCGACTAAAAATCACGATGAAAAATCTTGATCGGGAATCGCGATTGATTATCACGGATTACGAACGACGACCAAAATCTGGCGAAAGAAATGGTTTCAGAGGTGACGGGATTTATTGGAAACGATCGGAAAGAGGGTAAATGTTAAGTAGGAAACGTAAGAGGTTAGACAGCGTGTTTTGACGCATCGTTGAAACTACAGCCGTGCGATGCACGGCATCGATGTGCAAGGTATAAGCACAGTTTCCGGCTGTCTCTCCCGATAGTCGAACAGCATTGCGTCCGTGCAGTTTGCACGCGCACGAGCACAGCCTGCGACCGCACCAATTTTCTATGTTCCAAAGCTTTCTCCTCGTTTAACGAAAACCGAACGAAAATCGAACAGAAATCGAACAAGAAGCGAAGGAAAATTCAACGAAAATTCACACACCGTTTTCGGACACGATTATTGCACGATTTACGTTTCTCTGGCCGTGTTGGATGTCTTTGAGAGTTTCTATTTCTTTGGGCACTTAATCAAAATTTGTCAAATGGAATAAAAATTGTGTTATGTTTGATGAACTGATTCTTCGTGTTCGAGATTTTTCTTCTTATTTAAAAATCGAGTAAAAACGCAAACATTCGTGGTTGCGAATATTATACGAAGTTGGTTTCTATGTAGAATGTCTTTAAACGTTCCTGTTTCTTTGAATGCTTAGAGAAAATTCGTCGAGTGAAATAAAAATTCTAATACGTTCGATAAATCGATTTTCCATGATCGAGAGTTTTTTTCTTGTTTAAATATCGAGTAAAATGGAAAAATTCGTGAATACGAATATCATACGAAGTAGATTTCACTGTTGGGTATCTCTGACGTTTCTATTTCTTTGGATACTTAATTAAAATTCGTCGAGTGGATTAAAAATTCTAATATGTTTGATAAATCGATTTTCCACGATCGAGATTTTCTTCTTATTCAAAAATTGAATAAAAATCAAAGAATTCGTGAATACAGTCTTTATTCAGTATCTCCAAGCATTTCTATTTCTTTGGGTACTTAATTAAAATTCGTCAAGAGTGGAATGAAAATTCTAATACGTTTAATAAATCGACTTTCCACGATCGAGATTTTCTTCTTATTTAAAAATTGAATAAAAATCAAAGAATTCGTGGGTACAGTCTTTATTCAGTATCTCCAAGCATTTCTATTTCTTTGGGTACTTAATTAAAATTCGTCAAGTGGGATGAAAATTGTAATACGTTTAATGAACCAATTTTCCATTCTCGAAATTTTCTTCTCATTGAATGAAAATCGAATAAAAATCGAAAAATTCGTAGATCACAGTATTATAAAAACAAATTAGGTTTCCCTAACCGTTTCTGTGTTTCTGAATATGTAACCAAAATTTGTAAAAATTATAATACGTTTAATAAAATAATTAATTTTATTTTCGAATGAAAATGGAACAAAAATCGGACACTCGATGAACGCGAATCGAATATTTTTATTTTTATTATCATTATTAACGAACAACAGAGTATCACACGAATCACGTTTCCCTGTTCCTGTTGAATGTCTTCGAACAGAGAAACGTAATTCCTTGCGATAAGATTCGTAACACGTACTTTAGATCATAAACAACCCATTGGTAATTACTTCTGTCAATCTAGACAGATTTTTAATCGGATTTTTAGTTATATGTCACAGAGATTGTTCCTTTTTTTCGATATTCGAAAACGATTTATCGAAGACGATAGGAAAGAACGGAGACAAGTGTAACGATCTTGAATTAATTACCGCCCAGTTGAATCCTCTCCGTCACTTAAAAATCGAGGACAGAAGGGTGTCACGGAAAGTCAACGGGTGACATACTCCGATGAAAGTTTACCTCACGAATGGTGCATCGATCGCAAGATCCTTTTTCCTGGAAACGAACGAAAACGAACCTCGATCTTAGGTGAAAGACGAGATCGAAATGCTAATTTTTCGAAGAGAGGAAGAAAAAATTGGGAATTATTCGATCGGTAAAATCTTTCTTAGTCGGATTTTCACTTCTCGTGATACTGCCGTGTCACGGTAATATCCCCATCCCTTCGACACTCCGGCAATTTAGTGTCCAATGAATCAGTGAGTTTAAGGAAGCACGAATTAGCGATCTACGCGAAAAACCCACGAATGACGCAACCAAGACATCCCGAACGCACGTGTAACCAATTTCGTCTTTGATCATCGTCTTTTTAATCATTTCTTCGTCCCACCAGGAACAACCTTAGCAGAAACAACATTCGAATAATCTCTACATACACGTGTGCTATTAATCATGAAAGTGGCCTAAGTAGTGTATGATCCTTCTCAAAATATCAAAAGTTCCTCGGGTTAAGTACATCGTAAATTAAACAATTATTTACAACTGTCTGCTGTTTTGGCAACGGTAATTTTATTTTAGTGCAACACGAAACACTCAACGAAATCATTTCCTTCGAACGTTTTACTTAGGTCACATTCGTAATTCTCAAAGCGAAGCGTAATCGATATTTTTAAAATAATTTCCACAGTAATTAAGCTCGTCGAACGAATTTGGTTCGCGCTTGCGGTCCTTGTCGATAAATCTATACCGATTATGTTAATGCTAATGTTAAAAAAAAGAGAAAATGAAGATCGTATTGTCATCGTGTCGTAATAACGTCGTAACGTTTGCCTGTTATTGAATTTCAAATAGCATTCTCGCGAAGTTCGATCGAAATCTCTCCTATCATAGGGTAAACTGCGAATTCTTTTTTGTCATAAATAATCTTCGACGTAAGCGATACGCGATTGACAATAGCACCGCGTTATTTATCGCGGTTCCCGCGTCTCTTCAAACAATTCCCGATTCCTCACCTGCAAATGATGTTTATCTATCGTTTATGTTGTCTGATTGCAGAACACGAGGGACTGGTCGTTGTACTTATTGGATTGTGCCTTCAGCGTTGGAGTGGTCGGTACGCTGGTCGTGTTCGTTTGGAGAGGTGTTTGGATACTTTTCGATCTCTACCTGTTCCCGAAGGATCGAATGTATTCAGCGATCGGATCCCTCGTGAATATCTTTACTATTATTCTTCCTCTTTCCTCTTTTTTTTTTCTTCCTCGAAATATCGGAACCAAATATACATGCGCCAGTGTTAATTCTTCCTTCTTCGATCTTCGATCTTCAAGCTTCGTTTGAAAATTCCGCTTTGGAAAGTCGAGATTTCGTGACGGAGGTGAACTTGGCCCAAGGTAGCCATTTTATCGGTGGATCGCACAAATCCGGGAAAACACGGTGCGCGTACGAAAGATTCGATGAAGCAGCGTTCTATCGACGAACGCGTGTCATCGGGTGTCATTAGCAATCACGTGTTGAACGACATTTTGAAACGTGCCACCTACGCACAGCGCGGCGAGCAGCACGCCGTTGGTCCGATTGTATAATTGAATATTCGCCAATTGTATGATTGCGAGGGCACATGACAAAACTGTTGATGTATGTGTGCGCAAAGACACTCCATTACCGGGCTGCGTTTGCTTGTCTGAATACGACGCGGAGAGAACGCGGTCAACGAGAGGATTTGTTTAATTTTTCAATAATCACGATTATTGATCTCCAGCCGGAGACCTGTAATCGAAGCCATTAGACCGTCGTTCCGTCGCGTTCCCATCGGAACCGCCATCGAGCTGTGCCGGAAACGCGGTCGGTCTCGCGGGACTCTCGTCGTGCGCCGTCTTCCGTTCTGATCGATTGATCGTCGTTCGTTTGGTATGATCGAATCGTCATTTTTCCGCCACGGTCAAAAAATCGGACGATTATACGCCGGGTGCGATCAACTAATCGGGCAATCGTAGATCGTTCGATGCGGTCAAAGGATTGGACGATCGTCCTTCGTTCGGTGCGATCGAAGGATCGAGCAATCGTCGTTCGTTCGGTGCAATTTAAGGATCGTCATTTGCTTGGTGCGATCAAAGGATCGGGCAATCGTCGTTCGTTCGGTGCGATCGAAGGATCGGGCAATCGTCGTTCGTCCGGTGCAATCGAAGGATCGTCGTTTGCTCGGTGCGATCGAAGGATCGTCGTTTGCTTGGTGCGATCGAAGGATCGGGCAATCGTCATTCGTCCGGTGCAATCGAAGGATCGTCGTTTGCTCGGTGCGATCGAAGGATCGGGCAATCGTCGTTCGGTCGGTGCAATCGAAGTATCGTCGTTTGCTTGGTGCGATCGAAGGATCGGGCAATCGTCGTTCGTTCGGTGCGATCGAAGGATCGGGCAATCGTCGTTCGTCCGGTGCAATCGAAGGATCGTCGTTTGCTGGGTGCCATCGAAGTATCGCCATTCGTCCGGTGCAATCGAAGGATCGTCGTTCGTCCGGTGCAATCAAAGGATCGTCGTTTGCTCGGTGTGATCGAAGGATCAGACGATCGTCGTTTGGCCGGTGCAATCGAAGGATCGGACGATCGTCGCGACGATCTCGCTGTCACAACGACCGCGAGCTTCTCGCGCAACGAAACGTTGACAAACACGGATGAGCCCGTACAAATATTTCGACATCGCCGCACTTAAGCCCGCGACCATGCGGTTATTATTCGGTTGCAAAACGATATTCAGTTGGCGCCACGTTATCCTCCGCGACAACAATAACATTCGACTGTTGTTGCCAGTTTTTTCCCTCTGCATGATTGGCGGGGTATAAAAACGCGATCGCCGCGTGTTCGAAAAGAAATCCGACGCGACGAACGTCTGGCCGATGCGAATGATAAGATTTGTCTAGAAACCAGGTGATCGTACCGGTCGATTCATAGTACGAATTCGTTATCGGTGGTGTGGCCGATTAACGATCCGCGGGGTACTCAACTTTCGATAGCCGGCTCCGATTAACCGGATTGTCGGCGATTTATCGTGCCACGGGATCGTGATCGTTCGTAACTTTCCGATTTCGATAAACGCGACCCGATAACCGGCGAGCGAGCGAGAAGGGAAATCCAAGATGGAAGCAAACAAATTTCGTGGCGCCCGAGTACTCGCATCTTTCCGCTCTCCGACGCGACTTTGTTTATCAGCGACGCTTCTACGCTGAGAATCACTCGTCGATCTTTAATTAGACTCGAATTTATCGGACCCGATCGCGATCCGATCGTCCATCGATCGATCCACGCTCCTTCTACTCTTCTCACCGTTTTCCCGGCCAACTTCGCAAAACAAATCTGAATAGGAAATTAAATCGTGGCTGTTACGCTTATCGAAGGTTAACGCATCGGCTTAAAATCTGAAGATAATGGAAGCTCGTTTTATTGTTTAAAAAACACTTAAGTACGATCATCGATAATACCCGCGGATGCTAATTACTCGACGATATTCTCGATTCCATTCACCTTTCCGTCAACCTTCCGATCAACCTCTCGTCGATCGTTCGACGAGGATCAGAAATCATTGAAGATTATTTCTCAATCGTTCATTCGCTCGTCGAGAATTTCAACGGAGGTGTAAATATCGGTTGAGGTTTAATCCGCGAATCGCGCTCGAAATCCTTACGAGAAATTCAGCCGCCACGGTTTGCACTGTGATCGTGATAACGTAAATCCTCAAGAGGGTCGATGATTGCGCGAGGGTCATCCAATTCACGCATTTACTCGCTCGCAATGCCGCTTCGAAACGGCGAAACAGCGGCGGACTATTTATCGTTGGTCGGCTTGCTGGAATCGGCCAACTGATCTCAACGACAATCTCTTTCCTCGATCTCGACTTTGTACGTTTATACGAATAAGATCGATCCCTGATCCGTCGAATGTTACCAAAAATCTAACGAAAAAGTGGGAAGGAGATAAAAGATGAACATTAAAGCGGTACAAAAACCGGTGAAAGAAAAGGAAAATCGAGAAGAACGAAAAGGAAAATGTAAAATACGAAGTATCGGGGAAAAGCAAGGAAAACAAAGTAGACAAACAAGATTGAAATACGAAGGAAAACGTACTTGGAAAATAGCGGTGAAAGAAAAGGAAAATCGAGAAGAACGAAAAGGAAAATATAAAATACGAAGTATCGGGGAAAAAGCAAGGAAAACAAAGTAGACAAACAAGATTGAAATACGAAGGAAAACGTACTTGGAAAATTTCACACAGAAGGCTATAACGAGACAGGATTTTCGCGGCATGTCTCCTGCTGTTTTCGAAATTTTCCCAAAAATCTGTCCATGTCGATACGTTAACCCCTTATATCAAGTTTTTCATGCGAAACCCCGTAAAAATAAATATCACTCGCATTAGGCTGAAGCTATATTTAATCCTCTGTACCGGAATAACGAGAATCCTCATTCCTCGTGTCAGATCCGCGATTATATTCTGAGTATCGAACACATTTTAGCAAGCAGAAAATTCGAAGAATTCCTAAAATTTGTATCGAATTTTGTCGTGGATGAAATAAATAGCGATTGACAAAAGTTAAATACTTCCATGTCACTACAATCTTGAACGCTGACAAAAGATACGTAAAACGAGAAATGTTCACGGTATAACAAGCATCCCTAGTACGAAAAGTGTACAAACCCTCAACAGATTTGGCAGGGAATAAGTTAAAATTAAAAAACAAGGAAAGCTACTTCGGTGTATAATTTTTCGAAATTAATTCGTAGTGCAAGGGGTTAGCGTAATTTAACATACGAGATACATGCTTAAACGCTAAAAATTTGTTCAATTTTATAAATCGAATATACACTGGCTGATCGAAACGAAATAATCCGCTAACACGCAGTTTCTCGTAATTAAATCATAATAAGGGGTGAAATTTCCAACAGCAACGCGTAAGACGAGAAGACGAGAAACGGCATTCGACAATTGTTTCATCTGAAACAACGCAGTCACTTTGATCAAGGATATTGACAAATTGGTCCTAAATCGGAACGCCTAAAATGAATAATTTGCAACTGTCAATGTCTCTTCTCTCTCTCTCTCTCTCTCTGTTTATAATATATTTGAACAATTGACGCGTACAATTGCAGGCCATCGGATACGTGATAGTGACGGTGACGTTTTCTCTGCAACCGCTAATGCGATACGTTTGCGCTCGTCTTCGAGGCTGGGCCCGCTTGATAGCTGCCGATGGCTTCCTGCTGCTCAGCTTCCTGGGCACGGTGAACGTGTGGCGCGGCATCTGGAACATACTGGACGAATGGCTGGTCCCGAGTAACCCGGAGCTCTCCTGCTGGATCACCCACGTTGGATGTTTCGTGTTCCTCGTACTTCTCAACTGCAGCAACTCCATCCTCGTGCGCGGCGTTTACATCGACGGCGAGGAGGACGACGGCAAGTGCGTCGTATTTCCTTGCCACTACCTTCGATTGTTCTTCAAGGTGAGTCCCTTATTCGTCAGATCGATGGTCTCTTCTCTACCGATCATCGATCATCGTTCGTCTTTATCGTGATTCAACGTACAGTGAAAAATTTCACTCTTCCAAATTAAATCTCTCCGATAAAATCTGTTCCATTTTTCATAAACGATCGATCGCCCCAATAATCCCGGGACTCATCGTTTCGAAAACTTGATTCCTCGAAATTGCTTGATAAAATCTGTTCCATTTTAAATCGACCACCGTAATTCGTTTTAATAATCTCGAGATTAGTCGACGAAACGTTTCGTACCGATCGATCGTTGATCCTCGAGTCGTAGAAAGAGATGGGAGCGTTTAAAATCTCGGTAAAATTCGTGACTCCGTGGTCTTGTACTTTGCACCTGTTAGTAACCTAGAACGTTTAGCGTAAATTGTCTGGGAGAAGATAAACAAAACGTAGTATTTACTTGCAGGTCGAACGCGAGAAGAAGGAAGCGAGACGACGAAACCTGCTGGTGGCCTCGAAGGACTTCCGGCCCAGGCCTGACGGAAACGCCAAAGACACGGAGAACGGAGCACTTCTGCCCAATAGCACCGCCACGACTATTCTACCGACCAATCCTGAATCTCTCGTCTAACGTAAACAATTTCGAGAAAACAAGACTCCGAGAATTCGACTGAATTCCCTGCTCTGATAGTCTCACCGGTCGATCCTCGTGCATGATCGAAAGGAGGAACGAACGATCGGGTAAAGCAACGGATTCCGGAAGAGCCATCGGGTTCTTTCGTTTGTGCTCTCGGTCAGTGGTCGTACAGTGAAGTTTGAGGTCACGGAATCTCGCGAAACGAACACTATGCGCGGGCTTCATATTGAAGTCTGTATAACAACTAGACAAGTAGACGATGGGATAAACGCAGCGAATAGCGCGACAGCTGTATAGGTCGGCGGATAAACGTATAGACGCTTAGAATACCGATTTAAATTAGCCGAACGCGTAGATCGATAAGGGAGATCGAACGATCGACAACGAACGCGATCGAGCAAGTTCGACGACGAATTCAGCGAATGGCTGTGAACGAGTGACGATTGCCTGTACATAACGGACTCTGTGTGTGTACCTGCGTACCCAATTATACGAGTGTATGTGTGTATGTGTAGGAGAAACCGAATGTACATAATTCTCGATCGTGCGAGTCTCAAACGCGAATCCCTGCGAGTGCACGAGCCGCGGCTTCGATCAGGGCTACCCGGACAACCAAAGGATCTGCTCCGTTCGCCAAAGTACACGCGTAATAAATGGTCGTGAAGCATGCATGTAAAGTCGCGATTATTCGATTATTCGATCGATTCGTTGAGAATCGGGAACGACTCCGAGCGAGGGACATGGAACGATTCGATCTCCAGATTCAGAGATCGCAGAACGAAATTGCTATCATCGGATAGATCGACGAACGATCAAACGAGAGGTCCCACTATCCAAAGTTTCGACTATCCGTGACCCGATTAATACGACTCGACCGATTTATTTTCTTCGAGAAAGGAAACGATCGCTTTCGTAAATACTCGTGGTTAATCGAAATGAAGAAGACGAATACCGAGGCGGAAGAAATGTTCGTCAACATCGACTCCAATTAGAATTTCTAGTCATCGTTACACTTTAGTCGCCGCTTTCACGTATACCCGTCGATCGAGCATCGTCGAATCGATTCTTTCCTTTTCTCGTCACGCGCTAACGATCGTCAGAAGCGTACATCTGCGATCCTAGCGTTAGACGAGACCTTGATGATGACAATGGTAATAGACTGGACACGATCATTATAAATGGGTTATAACCTTCTCCCCCGCATCCTGTACACCCCGCAGATTTTGCTCTTGTACATCAATTACGACGTCATGGCGTACTAATAATTAATTAACTGGAATAATGACGGGACAATGGGCGGCTAGCACATCGATGGGAAGTGGCTAGTTCGACGATGAGCGGCTGCCCTCCTGGCCTACATTTAATATTTTCACAATGAACAATGTGCCAGCCGTCGCGGCGGAAGCTTCCCTTCGACGTGCCGCGAGAGAAACCGGAAATCGATCGCGGTCCATTGGGAGAGCAGCGAATCGAACGCATATTTATTCTCGCCCGAACGTGTTCGCTAAACGCGCCATCGCCATCGCGCAGGCTGCTTCGCGTCACGGGAGTAACGATATATTATATTTATACGCTCGTATACGCGACTTTTGCCATGGAACATTCGTTGAAATAAAAAAGAGAAACTGAGAACCAAGCTTATGTGAACCGTTACTCCGAGCTCCTTCGCGTCCGAGACTTGGTCGAAGACTTCATCCCTTTCCCGACACAGCTTTCGACGCGAATCGACGCGAATCGCAGCAGCCGCCAGCAAGCTCGAGACGATTTGCCAAGAACGAAAGAGTGCGAGGATGCAGAGAGGCGAAGGGCGATTAAAAATACAGGGAAGGGTGTGCAGCGTCCTCGGGGAAATCTCGGATGAAGATGACCGAGAGACCGAGGACTATGGACGGGATAATTGGGCCGCAATGTGAGTGAGTGACGGCTGTCAATGATCGATTTTCGATCAATCGCGGTTGGATTTTCCTCGACAGAGTGGGGAGTCTATTTGAGGCGTCGCGACGCCGTGGTGCAATGATCAGAATCAGTCGGTAGGTCGTACCACGGCGAAAGGTGAAGAGAGTGGCCGTCAGAGAGAACAAGTCGTATCCGAGCAGCGAGAGTGTCTGTATGCTGATCGCGAATAGCAAACGTTTTCAACTTTCACGAGCCGAAGAAGTGGAGTTTGTAAGGTGACCAGACCCTTTTTCCCTTCGCCTGGTAGAATGGCAGCTGACGACCCTCTCCGCGACGAACCTTTAGTTTCCGTTGAATTCGAGGTCTTTGGCAAGGTGCAGGGTAAGAGTGCAGTTTTATCGGCCAGAAGGTCGCCGAGTATACGGTTAATGTCGTTCCACGTGAAACGAGACTTTCGTCGTTGGTTTTTCGCGTTGCATTAAAACGATTGCGGGTCCACTTGTAGGATTAATGGAACGTCAAGGTCGAAAGAAATGTACGTAATGATATGTCAATTGTAAGATAGCGCGAAACGGTGGAACGACGGACGATGGATGCGGGAATAAAAAGGATTCGTATCGCGATGTAGAAAAACCATAAATTGCTTTCGATTCTTTTTTAATTATATTTCTGTCGGATAAATCTATGGCAAAGAAAAATTATTCGTCTTTCGATCGATGACCAAATTTCTATCGGTATTAACGTTCTGGATTCTCGTTATCGATACGAAACAACATAACACGAGCACTGTTATTAATTCGATTCGATCTCGTTTCTTTGTTCACGCGCAATTAACATAGCCACGCGACGTCGTCATCGAGAGATTTCACCCGAGTTGAACATATTTTCAGGTGTATACTTTCCAAAATACGTGAGAGACATATGTCAGGAATTGGGAATTTGCGGCTGGGTGAAGAACACCAAGTCCGGCACGATACTCGGAAAAATGCAGGGACCACGTGCACTCATCGATCAGATGTGAGTTGCGATTCCTTGTCACGAAGCCTTTGCAAACTGTCGGTGGCGCCGATCGGTAAACAACGTGAAAGTTCATTTTTATTGAAATTTATCTGCCCCTCTTCTGATTACCGAGAAAGAGAGATAAAATAAGGCAAATTTACAGAGAACATTTCGCTCTACGCAATTTTTTCTGCATCGAATGAAAACAATAGAAAGAAAGGAAAACTCGAGTTCGATCTTTTCTCGATCGTTGAGGCATCATTCGTACGAGTAACGAAACGGATCGTTTATTCCAACAACGAAACGAATTTCTTCGCAACGAACGAATGAACGAGACGCCTCGTTATTCGAATTGTTCCGCGATTTACGAGTAAAAAAAGGCCGTCAAGGACCCTCGACTTCTCTTTCTTTCGTCATCCTTTTCTCGGTCTACCTTCTTCGTTCCACGAATTAATGACACAAGCGCGTTAACGTAAGTCCACGAATTCAGTGCTCCCTTAAAATCGCGTGACCTTAGTCGCAAATTGTCGAGTAACAGCCATTAGGTAGTTGGGCCTGACTTTAATAATGATCTAATGAAATAATAGCGTGTACCGCGTTGTCTCTTTCCTTCGCGAGTTATCGCCGAATCGCGCCGGTCGCTTTCCGACAGCTATTGCCAACGAGCCGTTTCTACGTAGACGATTGTTCGGCAAATGATGTATTCTTGTTGTGTTAAAAACGTCAACGAAGCGTTAACAGGCCAATACGATACAATCGATTAATGTCGAATGTACGGAACTTCACAGCAGTGCCACCCGCGTTAGGGTTAGGAACTAAGGGTGAGAAGCGTAACTTTCAGAAATGACCGAGAACAGAGAAGAGAAAAAGCATCAAGAAGGAATAAAGATGAGAAATTGAAACTAATTGGAAAAATAAAATATTCCCGACGCATCGCTCGACGAGCTTCCTCGATCGAGAAACGACCCCCATTTTTTTTATCTCGTCGAGATGATCTTCGCTCGATAGAATGGTCGACCTGCAAATTAGACGAACGAAAAGTGGAAATTATTCCAGTCATATTGTTCGAAGAGAACGAAAGAATAGTAATGAATTCTTCGTAAAGAACGTCAGAGAAAGAATAAGATGAGAAGGATGTAATCGTTATTTAGAGAAGTAAGCCAGACCTACTGATCCATATATATATTTTGCCAATTGCATACAGACAAAACAAACGACATTCGAAAGGTGAATTATTCTTCATCGAGCGAAATTACTGTAGAAATAAATATAAACTCGAATGTAGATATTTGGTACGAACAGAGAAACTACAACTGTCTCGTGTGACAGATTTCCTAGTCGAATCTGTGCTGCTTGTAAATCTAGAGTCAAAGAAAATAGCTCGGTCGAGGACAAAACATTAATTTCTGGCTTCTCCCCAGAAGGAGATGGTCCATATCGATCTTTGTTTCATATTCGTTATTTCCTCAACGAATTGTTATTTACGCAATAGCGGAGTTTTTACAAAGTTCTAGCTGTATTCTTCAAACACGTATCCCTTTTTCAACTTGAAAGAAAAGATCGATCCAAACCATAAAATCTGGATGAATCTATAACATCCTCGGCTGTGATAACTTTACAATTCGGTTGTACATTTTGATCCAACTATTCATGAAGCAAGGCAAATTGTACTCGGAACAAGTACAAAGATACGTATAAATCTTTTACGTATAATATTTATAAATACATCGAAGCTTGTTAGATGAAAACACAATGACGATAAATTTTGAAAAAGAAAATCCTAAATTCCAAATATCAATGATAAATCGGATCATCGACACGCCAATGGCACGTCTGTGTTGTTGTTGCGGACAGCTGATCGACTTTAAACATCCTACTTCGATAGAGCCGCTTAAAATATCTGAACTCGGTCTGATTAAACGCTAATTATAATTACGAAGCACGCGAAACTACTACTAATCGTGACTGTCGAAGATAGATGCATATACAATTTGCACACTTAGTCAATTGTTATTTGACGATTGACAAGTTTTACATCATTATCGAGGCGTACAGATGCAACGTTTACGGAAAATTTGCTCTATCCTTTCGTCCATTCAATTTCGCAAAATTTTGCAAATTCTGTATTTCATGATAAACATGCAGAAGTAATAAGAAAGCGAAAAATTCAGTTTTTATAAAATAAATTATATACCCAAACAATTTTTGTTTGAAAAATCTTTCTCTTTTTTTCTAACGACATACTAGTTTGATATTTTTCGTGTAACGATAAATTAAGCTTTTGACATGAAACTAATACTAGATTATAAAAAACAAAAGTTCATATATTCATTTGAACCCCAAATAAATATACGTAACTACCTGTCATTAATATGTATACTAAGTTGAAGTATAGTCAAAACTGTCATATGTAAATATTATGCATTTATATTAAGTTTCCAGTACCATAAGAAATAGTTTATCAGTAAATTACAGAACAAACAAAAATATAATATGTAGTTTACTTTCAATTTGCTATATAATCGTTTTTTATTTCAGGGCACAATGGTTGACAAACGTTGGAAGTCCAGGTAGCGAGATAAAGAAATGCGAATTTACGAATTGGGAAGGCATTAATAGGCTAAATTATAAAGGATTCGCTATACGTTTTTGATTAAATAATTTCTTTTTACGTCATATTTCCTTAAAAGTTAAATCGATAATATATCTTAAAAATACGAACTAACAAGCATCGGTACATTTTAAAGGATTAAAAGATTTCCACAATTAAATTATACTTTATGGAAACCTAGTTCAAAGTATTGAAATTATTGATAAGTTAAAAGTTATGCAATATTAGTACGTATAAGTTAAAAACTATGTATAATAAACATAAAACATAAAAGATAAGAAAACTGGAAACAGTTAATATCCATTCATTCTTAACAAAAAAAAAAAAAAATAATTAAATAACAATACATAAGATTATAGAGTTTTTGTTCTTTAATTCATTGTATGTGACATATAAACATTCATGCAAATTTATGCCACAATACATTGCAATCAAATGTTTCAAGTATTTCTGATATGTTGGGATGTCAATGATACATACCAAGTATATTTTATATTTACTCAAAGCATCAAACTTAATAAAGTGAATTAAAAACAGAAAGCACGGTTAAATTTACTAAACTTATTTCCTACAACAAATTAATTTTACTTAGACATTTGAATACTATATTGTATCCTCGTAAATGAACACCGCATCTAACATTAATTGCGCAAGACAATAATCAGAATGTGTTTCGGGTAAATGTCTTGAAATTCGTCGTATCAATTCAATAGTATCATCATTCGAGCAATTTGTACAAATTATATCCAGCTCATCCTGAAAATATTGATAGTATTTCTATAAAATACTAAACAAATAGTAAGAATAAGATGTTCAGAATATTTATACCAAGTAAAACCTACAACACTTTCCAAGTATTGAGTAAGAGCAGGACTTATACGAGAAACTTCTTTCAAAAAATCAGGTGTTTTTGAAAGATAAGCCATCATTCTTCTTCCAGCAATGGGTAAAAGTTCTTCTGCTAACCTTTCAACATCGTTTACAGCTGTAACAACCTATTACAATATGCCCAGTGTACACGTTTTATCTTGTAGAACACTGTCAAATATATTAAATTTTAATCCTATTTACTTACTTCTTCTGCTAATCGATCAAAGCCATTCACATATAATTGACAAACTTGATATATCCTTAAGTTATCATTATTAATTTTCCATATGGATGCCAATGTTTGACATTTATTCATCCACTGAATAGCTTCTGTTGAACTAATCATTTTACCATCTGTTGTTTCTTGATGAATAAAATCCATAGATGCAGTAATTATACGACATAAAAACATGGATCTTATATGATCTCTTTCATCAGCTCTGTACCATGTTAGCATTACTTTTTCGGTCAGTGTTTGAAAAAAAAATGGTTGCACCTACATATGTAACAATTATAAATATTAGATTTAAGTTTTTAAGCAATACTTTTGATCTACTTACCACAGACTCAAATAAAGTGTTTATTGGTTTTATTACTTTCAAATTAAAGTACGCTATCATATATAAGACATTAGCTAATTGCGCGTGTAACATAATTAGATCATACGCAGCGGGTGCTTGAGAAATAGCCAATGTCGCAAACGGTTGTGGACCAGAAATACATCCTTCCCATAATTCTTCTGACTTAATTGTGATATTCTCTCTTGCTTCAAGTATTTCAGACTAGTATGTTATAAAATACATTTATATAATTCCAGTCAATTTCATATTATACAAACACACTGATTTATGAAGAACTTACATCAATGAATATTTCTAAAAATGTGACACAATTCTGCAAAAACGTAACTATCTGTATATCAGATAAACCGATCTCTTGTACACATAATCTATCTCTTGGTAACTTTCCTAATTTATTAATTAGTTTTGCAACTACTTCCATTCGTTTTTTTATGTGAACCGACCATAATAAACAACAAACCCCTAGTAAAAAATAACATTTCACATACAAAATAACAAATACACATAATATTTAATGTAAATAACTTTCACACTTCTCACCATGTCTCATCTGTTTCATTGGTATTTGTCGTAAAATAGATAATGCAACTTCAAGACACTTCAATTGTGAAATATCTTTATTCCATGACATTGCAAATTCCCAGCACACATTAGCTAGTAAAACACTACTTGTTAAACTATATGGAAAATGACGTTTTAATAACTTTATTCTCTCTGAAAAGTACAAGTAATAATGTACAATGCTAACTAACAATTAAAGCAAAATTAAGAAATAAATCATTAATCATAAATCATTAAAATCATTAAAAGAATGCTATTAATTTTTACCTAAAATACATGTAGTAACATTTGTACTATCTTTATCTTCACTTTTTGTATCAAGAGATTCTGGAACAATCTCTGACTTTTCTGAATGATATTCTGGTGCATCTTCAACATATTTAGGTTTGTTTAAAAAATTTATTATTTCCAAAGAATCGCTTGTTGACTGTATATGATCAAATTCTATATCTGTTGTATCTACTAGTTGAGAAGGATCAATGCCCGCAGACGCAATCCATTTTGCAACTATCTCTGATACAGAACCTAATTATAATGATATAAAAGAATAGTTATATTATATGAAAGTAATATAATGGATAATCACAATTGTATTATACCTTTTCCTTTTGAAACCACAGATCCTAAAGAAATATCAAATTTTACAAATGGTAGTGCAAAAAATTGCATTACAGCATCTGATGGAGGTTGTTGGCTGAAATTGCAATCTTATGAGTATTTTAAAATTTTCCATCGCGAACAGAACTCATTACTAAATTACCTTACAACAGCGTCTAAAATCGTAATATCCTCGAGGTTCCCAATAAGTAACGTAAACTGACAACTATCTTTAGTAACATTTTCCCATTCATTTGTTAAATTATACACTTCATCATCTGACTTTAAATGACTAATTTCATGACCCTTTGTTTCTTTGAAATCATTCTCACATTTAATATCTTTTTGGTCCTGATCATTATTATCCAGAGTTTCGTTGCTACACTTTTCCTTAGACCCTTCTATAGACATGGCAACAGCTCTACACATCAATGCAGCACTAAGTGCATTAAATGGATTTGTTGAATCCACAAGAATATTACGAACTTTTTTCCACCATAAAGATATTTCATTATTTTCTGCACATATCTCTTCAACATCTATAAGTAAGAAACTTCGTGTTATAAAAACAAGAATTTATTAGAACTTAATAGAAATATATTTGATACCTACTAACTAGTGAACAAATAGCATTTAAGAGTTGCATAAATTGTTTTAATTCTAATGCTAAACATAATTCATCTTGTTTCTTATTAAGCCAGTAAGTTAAAGCTAATTTCATAAAAACAAATGGTTGAATATTACTATCCTTAGCAGTCTCTTTCCATTTCTCAATTCTATCACATGAATATACACATCCTTCAAACATTAATTGAGCTGAAAACATTAAAAAAAAATCTAAATGTAACATATATTTTTAATATTTTAGTATTTTGTAACAAAACACATACAAATATAATTTTCTTTTTCTTCTTTTATGTCTTTTTTAATATCTATTAAACCTGGTGTCCCAAACTCAAAACAAGATAAAAAATCTAAAAAAATGTTTCCATCCTCTTTAAACTTTACTTTACATTCTGTCTCAGAATCTGAACACTTGTAGCTATTTATTTTTTTAAATAACTCAAATATTCTAAGCACTTCCTTTTCATAAGTTAATAAAATTGAAGCTAAATTTTTACTAATTAAATCATTATTATCATCATTTATAAAAGTATTATCCTCTGCTGTATCAAACTGGGATTTAATATGTTTATAAAATTTAATTATTTGTTGCAATTGTGTCGTTAATAAGTAAAGCGTTTTTGTTGTAGGTTCCATTTCTTCTCCTTCTGTAATATAAAATTTATATATTTATTATTTCAAATTATGTCTAGGAAAACAATATTAAATAAATATGCACCATATTCGTTTAATTTCTTAATAAAACAGTTTGTAGCTGCGAATAAAGCATCAGGAGTAATATGTTTATTTGATATTAACATTTCTAATGTTTGTACTCTTATTTCGTTAGTTTTCAAATCTGAACACACATTCTCAATCTCTGAGATCAACTTTTCACATCCAAATTCGTCTTCTCGTAAAAACGTTTTTAATTTTTTAAGTAAATGTATATCACGTGCTCTCTTCCCATTTTTACTATTTAGAGCAAAATGAAATGGTACTGTAATTTCTTTCAACCCTCCAAGTGGATCCATAAAAACACACGAATGTTGTGGTCTATTTTTTGATATTTGCACATTATCATTGACCCCAAGAAGACCATAATTAATATAAAGCAATCTGCATAATAATGTTTAGTTAACTCGATAATTTTACATTAACTTTTAGTGAAAGTATTTAACAAGCATGTGTTACCCACCGACCATGTTTACTAGCAGTGAATGTAGTAATTTTAGGACCTTGTTGAGTACTCCATATATCTATTACACCCTTTTTTGGAGCATAAATGACTAAAAAGAAAGCAGACCGCAACTGTGGAGTTTGTTTAAATTTAGTAAATGCTTTGTACATTCCAGAATGCTTTTCTTCTTCCACTTCAATCCAGCCACATTGTGCATTTCTATAACCTTTCCACATTCTCACAGCTATACAACTTCTGTTATCTACTAATAATACTCTACCCATTGCATCTAATATCACTGATAATGTTTTATTTGGACTGGATATTATTGAATAACCCTCCCTTGTAACATCACTTAATCCAAACCTACAAGTCATTGGCTCAACTGGTTCATGAACACTAGTTTTTGATGCTTCAAGTGATGCTTGTTGTTTTGAATTTCCCCAACTGATAGGAAACCAACTAAACAGAAAAAATGTAAAAAAAAATCATACATAACTACAAAAGTTTTTATATGATGGTAACACATAAATAATAACATAACAATTTAAATTTCAATTTTACTAAAAAATTATATGCGGTATCATTCAAGTAATGTACTTTAATTACAGCTCTCTTACAGGTGATGTATCCTTTGACAATAAATGCATAACATGAATTTATTATGCAACACTCACGGAACAGCAGTTCCAATAGCATTTGCTAATTTGCTGGCCATTGCTATTGCAACATCTGATAAAATTGGAGCTGAACCACCTTCTAATGCGTAATGAAAACCAACAAAGGGTCGTTTACCAGTTGCCAGCACTAAATTATGTTGTGGTGCACTAGATCTATAAGATGCATTATATCCACCACAAATTGAGGCTGTCATTAAATGATCAAAACTGTTTACAGGAGTGGTACCAATTACTTCCGAATCATTCACAATATCCTGGCTTTTATAACCCCACTTCTTATATGACAAGTTTGTAATAGGTGGTAGATCATCACAGTTTGCTTGAACTATAATGAACATAAGGTATATTATTATACGTATTAAATGTACAAATGTATAAATTTGAAATGTGCATATTTTTATACTATAAATTCAATTACTATACCTCTAGCTAAATGATTTCTGCATGCTCGTAATGTAGAAAACAAAGGAAAACCTTGTAATACACATACAACGCTATTATATGCCACATGGACTTCTTCAGTCATACCCGTATCTCCTACATGTTTAGGTGAATAAAAAGATTGACATTTTAGTCCCAGAACTGATTCATTATGTAATTGTTCCCCTAATAATAATGCACCTGACTACACCAAAAGAGTTAATGTCTTTATATTAATTTTTACTAGAAATTTAGATTAATTACTTTAAATACATCTTATAAAATATTATCATATATCAAATAGTTTAATAATTGTCAAACTTACTTCTGTATAAAACCTAATAAAACCAGTATTGAAACCAACTATAATACATGTCCAATCTGGATTTGTACCACTGCTAGCTTTTCCCAATGATAATAAAGGCAAACAAATCACAGATGTTACCCATTCACTAAAAAACACTTTTAATATATGGACATATTTTCAAAGAAATTTATAATATCAAGAATATAAAATATTTAACACAATGTTATTATAATAAAGACTTACTTCTTTTCTTTAGCAACTTCACCATACCATACGATATGAAACTTATTTTTTGCCTCATCTTGTTCTAATGAATCCCATCTTGCTAATATTAAATTATCATATGAAATATAAACATGAAATTTTAAACTTAATATATATATATATATATATATATATATATATATGTTTTAAATAAATTATTATACAACAAAAATATATTATTCAAAATTAAATTAAATATCTATATATACAGACAAAATACATACACATTAATATGATCATCTTTGTATTATATGCCATAGCAAGACAATCTCCAGTTGATGATAATGATATAAAACAGTCTTGTAGTGGTAATTCATCTTGTGGAATGTCAACTGAAAAATAATATCATTGACATTTACCATTTCTTTAGATTAGAGAACAAAAACTATAACTTACGTCTTGTAACAGATTCTCCAAAAAGTAACTCTTTGATATTGCTTATATTGGTTAGATTTGCAATTCCTTTTATCTGACAAGACATATCTAAACAATTACATTCATATACCTATTTCGAATAATTTCAAATTTTCTTCACTTCAATATTTGTAAATGCTACTTAGCTAATTAAATTGTGGAAATTCTAACACAGCATCTGACAATATAATAGATCACAAACTGTCATATGCTTGCAAGTAGGATAGTAAATGCAGAGATTCTTCGTCTAAGACTTCACATTCTGTGACAAATAAACATTTGCAAACATCACTATGCTTATTGCGTTAATAATACATTATGAATATCAAAAAATGGAAAATATGTAAACGTCTACATGAATTGTCAACTTCAGTTAAGAACCAAAGTGTAGCTGCGCAATACTTATTCGCATGAAACGTTATTCATACGAAATTTTAAGTCAAAATGGAGAACACGTGTTGCATGACATCACGTGACGTAATTTGTGACGTTTAGAAACAGCCGCTAGAGTTTTCCTGATTGGACAAAACAGATCGTTAGAACCAATGAGAATGTTCGTTTCTCCGCAATGGTCCGCGTAACGTGTTCAGCCATTTTGTTATTATTTTCGAAAATCTGTAGGTTGGATTTCAGGACAACGCAAAGCAGCTAATTTTCTCGTTTCTCATTGAAAGTGAAGGGAAGAAGAAGAAATTCGTATGAGATTTAAGAAACAAAGTTACGACGAAGAACGGCCTCGGTGGGTATCGTACATTTATGAGTGGAGCTCTCCTCACTGACGATCGTCGCAAACGGAGCAGAGGCAGGAGTGACGAGCGAGAGAACGTGCGAAAGATAGAGAGAGAAAGAGATGGTGAGGAACAGCGAGTCTGTGAAACAAGGAATGAAATTGGTCGCGCGCGGGAATCAGCGGTTGTGTGTTTGGCCTTTTTCTGATTGTGATTTGCTGCGAGAGATTGTGATTTCTGGTGTGAAACGTGTGTTTTTTACTTGCGAATTGAGAATCTACGTGTGGGAGTTGATGTGGTATGTGTAAACGTCGTTTACGATACGTTATTCGTTGAACAACGACGCAATGAGTAAAGTGCACCCGGATAACAAAAATCTACAAATTCCGATGATCTGTTGTTAATATTTTATACCTCTGTCAGCTTTTATTTCTGCTTGGTTAAATGTATTAAATGAAATACTATTTATACTAGATTTACGAACGTACGCACAATAAATTTTCACATAACCTTATTTGCGATTGTCAAATGTAGGTTAGGTCGAGCGGTCGCAGTGCGGTGACCTCCCTCGCTACATGTTAACAATGATTTCCTTTTTATTATTGCTTCTGTTTAATTTTATTGTTAATATCAGGTTTTATTCTTTTAATATCCTTTACTTGGTTATAAATATAAATAAATGATTTTCGTATAGAAACAGAACAATATTGTTTGGTAATATAATCTTTAATAAACTTCTAGTATTTTTACTTGTAAAATTATGACAATATATGACAAGTGTTTTCTTAAAAATAATGAAATACTATAAAAAATGCAGTGTCTTCATATATATTATTCATTAACAATAAATACTAATGTTATTTAAAGTGTTAACATATCTTTAAACTAGATGATAAAATTATTTTATTACTTTGTATTGAGTTATATTTTTGGACTATTTATTAATCATGTGTAATAAATTAGTCTCTATCATAAACACTTTGTAACACTTTGTAATATTTTTTTGTCTTATTTATACATTATATATATAGTTTTAACGACTCAAATAATTATGTTTAATATAATTATTTTCAGATAGAGTGTATGAAAATTGGATAATTTACAATAAATAATGGCAACATTAGCAGAACAAGCATCTAAGCTTTTGGATTTTAATCAAAAGCTAGATATAACACTTCTTGACAACGTAGTAGGTTGTATGTACACTGGGATAGGTGAACAACAGAGAGTTGCACAAGAAGTATTAACTACACTTAAAGAACATCCAAATGCATGGACACGTGTAGATACTATTCTAGAATATTCACAGGTAAGTTTCTTTAACCAAAATTAATATCTTTATACAAACAAATAAGGAATTTTTTAATTTATGAATAATTATGCAAATATTTATATACAGAACCAACAGACAAAGTATTATGCATTACAAATATTGGAACAAGTTATAAAGACTCGATGGAAAGTATTACCAAGAAATCAGTGTGAAGGTATAAAAAAATACATTGTAGGCCTTATCATAAAGACAAGCAGTGATCCAGAAACAATGGAGGCTTCTAAAGTTTATCTTAATAAACTTAATATGATTTTAGTTCAGGTAAATGATTTAAGGTAGTAGGAAATGAAAGCTATATAAATGTAATAAAAATGTATCCAAAAATATATTTATTGCAGGTTTTGAAACGAGAATGGCCAAAAAACTGGGAATCCTTCATTGGTGACATAGTTGGAGCAAGTAAAACAAATGAAAGTCTTTGTCAAAACAATATGGAAATTTTAAAATTACTCTCAGAAGAAGTATTTGACTTCTCTAGTGGGCAAATGACACAAACAAAAGCAAAACATTTAAAAGATACAATGTGCAGTGAATTCTCACATATTTTTCACCTTTGTCAGTTTGTATTGGATAATTCACAAAATGTTCAATTAGTGGCAGTTACATTAGAAACACTTTTAAGGTTTTTAAATTGGATTCCTTTAGGGTATATTTTTGAAACAAAATTAATAAGTACTTTAGTATTCAAGGTAAATATTATATATTTTTGATTTCTTTTTTAGTCAATTTCTTATAATATTTTTATTCTCCAATCTTCGTTACTTTCTTTACAGTTCTTAAATGTACCAATATTCAGAAATATTACATTAAAGTGCTTGACTGAAATTGCTGGTGTCACATCATCAACTTATGGAGACGTATTTGTAATGTTATTTGTTAACGTAATGCGACAGTTAGAACAGATTCTACCCCTTGATACGAATATACGCCAAGCATATGCAGCTGGTCAAGATCAAGAACAAAATTTTATTCAAAATCTAGCTATATTTCTATGCACATACTTAAAAGAACATGGGCAATTTATAGAGAAAAAAGAAATAAATGAGTTGCTACTTAAAGCATTGCACTATCTTGTTTTGATTTCTGAAGTTGAAGAAGTTGAAATATTTAAGATCTGTTTGGAATATTGGAATGCATTAGCAATGGATTTATATAAAATAAGTCCCTTTGTATCGACACCGTTTTTTATGGCTAAAAACTTAACGGTTCCACCTAGGAGATTACTTTATTGCCCGGTTCTAACAAAAGTACGATATATTATGATTAGCAGAATGGCTAAACCCGAAGAAGTTCTTGTTGTAGAGAATGAGAATGGGGAAGTTGTTAGAGAATTTATGAAAGACACTGATTCTATTAATTTATATAAAAATATGAGAGAAACTCTTGTGTATCTCACTCATGTTGACTATATGGATACTGAAAGAATAATGACAGAAAAATTACAGAACCAAGTAAATGGATCAGAATGGTCTTGGAAAAATCTCAATGCGGTAAATATATTGAAAATATTACTATAAAATTAAAAATCAAATTATCACGTTATATTAACAATTTAAATTCTTTTATTAGTTATGCTGGGCAATAGGTAGTATTTCTGGTGCAATGCATGAAGAAGATGAAAAGCGATTTTTAGTAACTGTTATCAAAGATCTTCTTGGTCTTTGTGAACAAAAGAAAGGCAAAGATAATAAAGCTATTATTGCTAGTAATATTATGTATGTAGTTGGGCAATATCCAAGATTTCTTAGAGCACATTGGAAATTTCTAAAGACTGTTGTAAATAAACTCTTTGAATTTATGCATGGTGAGAATATTACATTATACGTAATGTGATATAATATACAATATTATAAAAATTGTTTTAATAATTAAAACATTTTTTTTTTTTGCAGAAACTCACGATGGTGTACAAGATATGGCTTGTGACACATTCATAAAAATATCATTGAAATGCAGACGACATTTTGTTACACCACAGGCAGGAGAATTGGTACCATTTATTGAAGAAATTCTTTCTACAATTAGTACTATTATTTGTGACCTTCAAACACAGCAGGTAACATCATTTAAATTAAATTACGTGATAATATAAATTATACATGTAACTTGTTATTTATATAGCATAATATGCTGTTTTTCTACTACATTTTTGTATTGATTGTAATGTAGGTGCATACATTTTATGAAGCAGTTGGATATATGATAAGTGCACAAGCAGATACAGTAGTGCAAGAAGAATTAATAGAAAGATATATGCTTTTGCCAAATCAAGTATGGGATGACGTAATAAGTCAAGCATCTAAAGTAAGTATTAAAAAATCATACATTATAACATGGTTTTCTAATTTATATTATAAAAATGCTTTAATTTAGAATGTAGATGTATTAAAAGATCAAGAAGCTGTAAAACAACTTGCTAGTATTTTGAAAACAAATGTAAGAGCTTGTAAAGCTCTTGGACACCCATACGTGATACAGTTAGGAAGAATATATTTAGATATGTTAAACGTTTATAAGGTAGAGTGATATTTTTTAATAATATATTGATCATTTTAATACACAAATAAAAGCTTAAATTTCTGACTTAGGTTATGAGTGAAAATATAAGTGCTGCAATAGCTTTGAATGGTGAAATAGTAATGGAACAATCTTTAATTAAAAGTATGAGAGTAGTAAAAAAGGAAACATTAAAATTGATCTCAGATTGGGTCAGTAGAACAACTGATCGTCAAATGGTAAAATCTTATTACTATCTACTATGTATGAAAGATGCATATTGTAACTCAAATATTATATATATATTGTTTTACTTGCAAAATATTTATTTTAGCACGATTCACGTCTTGATATTTAATATTTAATAAATTTTCATTGTTTTTGAAATAGTTAAATTTATTTCATATATTTTGCAGGTTTTAGATAGCTTTTTACCACCATTACTGGATGCTGTTTTATTGGATTATCAAAAAACAAATGTTCATTGTGCTCGAGAACCAGAGGTGCTAAGTGCTATAGCCGCTATCGTAAATAAATTAGAATGTTACATTACTGGTGAAATACCCAAAATATTTGATGCTGTGTTTGAATGTACTTTAGAGATGATCAATAAAGATTTTGAAGAATTTCCAGAACATAGAACAAATTTCTTTTTACTTCTACAGGTAATTAAAAGTAATAATTAT